CCGCTCCGTTATTGTTCTTGACCATCGGCCATCGTCGAATTGGTGCTTTGTGCACCGTCAATTGGCCGCATGGTAGTTGCATGACATCACCATTGTGAGAGTTTATTAAGTAATATAGCGTGTGGCTGGCAACGTGTGTGTGTTACCACAGCACCACGGTGGCTCGGAGATGTTAACTCCCTCGCCTGGTACACAGGAGGTCGTGAGTTCGATCCCGGCCATGATGCCCGCTCTATATTTGGAGTTTGTGGTGTCTCTCTCTTTCTTCATTATCACGGTGGCTAGGAGATGTTAATTACCTCGCCTGGTATACAGGAGGTTGTGGGTTCGACCCTGACCCTGATGCCTGCTCTATATATGGAGTTTGCGGTGTCTCTCCTCCCGTGGTCGCGTGGATTTTTCTCCGGGTCATGCGGGTTTTTCCTCCACGTTTCGAATCAACATTACGCGTTTTGAATATTTGGCCTGCTATATATGTCCACATGATAGGCCACTTTGTTGAGCTATGATTTGTGGCCAAGTCGCTTCTGAAAAAGAGCTATGTAGCTTAGTGGGCCTTACCTGGTAAAAAATGTTTTAGTTTTCGTCATAGATTGTAAAGCTGTGATTGATATTATAATGAGAGACTCGTGTGCAGGCATAGGCTGAGCGAGTTGCAGTTGAAACACTTTCAAGCAATCTTGTGTTCATACCGGAATTGCACCGAAGCACAAAAATACAAAATGATTTTAACTACGATGATGCCCCCGTGGAAATCCGATGTCACGATCATCTTCTGAGCCAGAACATTTATATCGTATCGCCAAACATACAGCGGTCCCTCGATTAACAGTGACATTGGTTAGCGGTTTTTCGGTTGAGGTTTCACCTCCCATAGGACCCCATGGTTCCGACTCACGTTCACATTGTGACGAATGTTAACATCGTTGGTGTAACGGTACCGTGTTCACGTGATATGCACGCGGGCGCCAATTTTGGCCAATCCGAGCACTCGTGAAGTGGGGCTGAGCCGTGCCCTCAGCCAATCGGTGGCACCCATTTTATTAGACTTGGACTGGCTTTGTTTACATTATTGCGGGTTTTGTTTTGGCAGTGGGTGCAACAGCTCTGTCTTCGATTTAACAGTTACTTGGGTTCACAGTAGTATTCGTGGAACGGATTAGAAACGTTAACCGAGGTAACTACTCTGTATTGCTGAGGGACGCGTCCAGGGCTGTGCGTCTGTGCTGGGCTGCCCCACACGGGTTAAGACCTTTCATGAATGAGAAATCCAAGAGCCTTTAAAGTTACAGCAAGGCGTAGCATTGCTTATATTTCATGTTTCGTTAAAATAGCTTACCTGCATTTGATTCTTCGCGCACGAACGGCAGTGGCACAAATAAATCAACGTGTGTACATAATGTAAATGTGCCGTGAGTGGACGTCAGTCCCCCAAAGTCACAGAGCCATGGGACAGCCACCAGCAAAACTTTGAGGAGCTAGATGCCAATGTCGAGGTCTGCTGGCCACGGCGAGGGGGTTTCTCAGGGGAGAGAGAGAGAGTTCATGTCGTTCCGCTGTTCCTCCTCGTCGGGAGCGCACGCCACCGTGGGTTTACTGCAACGCTCCAGAGTTTGTATTGCGTGGCCACAGTCGCACCGCTGCCGATTCTCTATCTTTCACTTTCCATTCGCGAAGGAGATGTGGTGAAGCATCGGCCTACTGGCGGTGCTCTGATTGCGCCGTCGGTGGTTACAACACCGGTGTCTTCGAGGAGGATGAGGAATGTCAAAGACAGCCAGGCGGTGCGATGTTTGGGTCTCAAATGACGAGTCTATTCCAGATAATCCCTCGAGCTGGACCATCTGGTGCGGGTGGGAGTCCAGGGAGCCTGGTGAGGCGTCGTGCACACGGCTCGAGTGACGTCGCGGCATCGACAAGATTTAAAATGCAACAGCCGTAGCAGCTTGACAGGCATATCACCAGAGTAGCGCTTGGACACGGAGGAAATCGTCCAGTGCTGCTGGCAGTGGCGTCACAGGCACACGTGTAACAACGAGAATTACTCAACACATCCGTCAGTAACACTGTGTGTGGTGTGGTCGTAAAAGAAAACATATATTTCACGGCTGACGTTTCGGCCCATGGCCCTGTCCACCGCACATGTGAGAGCTGGAATGGATAGGAGTTGGGGACGGCGCTCATGAGGTGCTCTCTCCACGCCAACTCTTGTCCACTCCGTGGCCTCTCTTTATCTGTGTGGTGTAATGGAGCAAGCGTCTTGCCTCGTCTCACCTGTGTCTTCACACGTGTCTTGTGCAATATGACACGCGCGTGAAGTTGTAGAGCCCGGGCCCCCATAGCCTCCGTTGTATGAGCTCGTGGCTTTTTGTTGTTGTTGAAAGTGCCGATGCATTCCGTTGTCTGTGTCCCGTCTGTAACGCGGGAGTCACAGCAGCCCCCGTTACAGACGATCCAAGATGAACAAAAGTTTATTGTAAAAGTTCTCTCGCCGAGGCCATGCTGTTTGTTATTGACGATTGCGTTGAGTTGTTTTCTTTTTTTCTGTGCTTGGGCACCACTGCCAACACAGCAGCAGCAACAGCAGCTGCATCGCCAACGTAATTTGTTGTTTCTTGGTGAGTCTGCCCTTATGATGACGGCACAGCAGTCGCACGACAGTGATGTCACCAGAGCACTGTCAAGATGCTCCTGACATTATTATTATTAATCCTTTCCCATTCCGATGACATACGTGCATGTATGTCACCGATGACGTGTACGTATGTGTACGTCACGCCTATGATGTACGCGCGCGTATTTCATCGGTTTTTCCGAATGGAATCAAAAGTAAAAGGCCACGCGGGGAGGGTGCGCGCGTGGCACAGTGTCGGTGTCGGCTTTCGTAGCGTGCGGCGGTCGTGTCGCTACGCCTGTCTGCGGTGAGTACGCTATAGTGTCTTGAAAAACAGCGGCGCTGCTGCGCCTCTCTAAACAAAACGAGACGTTCACGCGGTCCAAGATGGGGCGGTGAACGGGACACCTCGCACCCTGCAACTTCCAGACGTCCCGGAACGGCAAAGGAATTAATAAGAGTGAGGGATGATCTCATGCGAACAATTATTTGAAAACGGCGATTATAATCGGTTTGCCGACCTTCGCCAAACCCGCACTTACCGTTGTGGTGAAGTATGGTTGAGCAAGCCTCACGAGCCGTGAGCTATTATGAACTTTGTTGTTTATGCAGCGGGCTTGTCACGTGACCAACTGCGTTGGAATGCGCCATGCGGTTGGTCACCGCGATCGTCACTCAAACCGTTACTCAACGGGTAAGGAAAGTTGGCTCGTCGATTTTTTTAAATCTCGTATGCCATGAACGACCCTGCATATAAACAAATGCAGTCGCGTTGACAGAGTTTCGATGTCATGTCGAATCACCCGGGACACGCAGCCCAGGTGTGTTGCTACAAGACAAGAGCCATCCGTGGCCTCGCCAGCGCTTGATTTCAGTCGGCGAGTTGAGAAAATATTTCTCCACCCAACACGCCATGTCAAGCATGCCCCTTGCCGCCGTGGCTGGGACTACGTCACGTGCCACCCGTGTTTCGTTTGTTGCCCCCCCCCCGCACCTCCGATTAGCGCGGATGGCTACGTACGGTGCGAAAGAAGTTCAAAGTACATGCACTGCATGCTCCGGTCCACCAGCGCCCGCAGAAATGATTAAGTGAGAAAGTGAACCCGGTCGTTTCGTAAGGGAGGCGGGGAAGAGTGACGTACCCGACTGCGTGTGCTTGTGTGTGGGCCCCTTTGTGTGTGTGTCTTTGTCGTTTGCTTGGGGAGCAGTAGCGTAGTGCGCTGGGAAACGGGCAACCCGGGTTCGATCCCCGCTCACAGCCAGCGACAGTGCTGGACGTCTGAAGCTGGTCCCTGGGCCTCCCCTAGGTCGACCCAACCTTAAATGAGGACCTGGTGTCGTGCATAAACTTTGACACGCGTCAAAATAAAGGTGGCCGTTTGTGGTGCTGGCCACCCACCCCCTCGTGTGGCTATTCGGCCTTCATAGATGCTCACTGACAGCACACGTGCGCCTTTCTGTGCACGTGTGTGTGTGTGCACGCTTGTGCGCGTACACATACGTATGTGAGGACCGGTTGTGCAGCGGTTAGCGCCCTGCGCTACGAACCCGGAGACTCGAGTTCGATTCCCGCTCACGGCCAACACTGGTGACAGTTATGTGTACCGGTCCTGGGCTTCCCCTAGGTCGACTCAGCCTAAAATGAGTACCTGGTGCGATGTGTAGTAAACCTTGCCACCGGGGAGACAAATGCGGCCGGGCGTGGTGCTGGCCACCCACCTCCTCGTGTGCCGTTCAGACCTTCATAGGTGCTCGCTAACGGCACTTGCCCCAACAGTCTGTGAAGGCTACACGGGGGATCTTTGTCTTCGTGGTGGGACTAAGGGAGGGAGGGAAGCTGCCAGTTCACCATGCGGTCCCCAAAATAGCTTTAGAGTCGGAGACTTCACGAGACGGCTTGGGGGCCGTCCATAAATGACGTCACGCACCTGGCGGAGGGGGGGGGTCAGACATTTGTGACGATGTGTGACGAGGGGGGGGGGGGTTTGAGAAATGTGACGTCACATCAAAATGCGCAACTTTAAATAAATATAGACAACACGTTCTACTAAATTAAATAGACTTTTTAATAAATGTTTTCTCCTACAACATCAGAGTGCAGCGCCACATTAAATACGCACTACAATGACAATATTTTAAAGTGATTTGAAGCATGTTTTATTCTTGGGGGGGGGGCAGAGCGTTGTGACGTCATATTTGAGGGGGGGGGTTCTGACTTTTTGTGACGCCGTGTGACGGGGGGGGGGGGGGTAAAAAATCACGTGACGTCATTTATGGATGGCACCTTGGTTCCGCTTTTGCAAGGATAAAAAAAAAAACGCGCTGACATTTACCCACACGTATAAAGGCGACACGGGGGACCTTTGTCTTTGTTGTGTGCACGCAGGCGAGCGGCGAGGACAACAAGGAGGAGACCGCTGTTGCCAAGTACCTCCGCTTCAACTGCCCCACCAAGTCCACCAACATGATGGGCCACTCAGTGGACTACTTTGTGGGTGAGTCGCCCCTCGTCCCACCGTTCGCTTGAGCGTGCCAGCCGGCGTGAGGATTGCGGTTGGTGGGGGTGGTCGTGGTGTTGGTGGAGAGCGTCTGTACGGTCGTCTACAGACAACAACGACAACCAAAACAACTAAATATCGCCGTGTGTGTGGGGCGGTGGAGCAGTGGTTAGCGCACTGCCTGCGCTGTGAACCTCGTGACCCCCAGTTCGATTCTCGCTCACGACCACACTAACAGTGTGATAGATGAATTGATCTTGGGTCTCCCCCTAGGTCGCCTTAAATGTGTACGTGGTGCAGTGTGTAAATATCAGAATTGGGGAGACAAAAGCGATCGGGCGTGGTGCTGGCCACCCCACCCCCTCGTGTGTCGCGCCGCCTTTAGGTGCTCGCTAAGAACACTTGCCCCAATAGTCTGCTATAAGCTACATGGGGGATCTTTGTCTCTGTTGTTTTGTGCTATGAAAGCTTCCAAGGCAGTGGAAACGCTCCTGGAGTCGAACTGGGCCACAGGGAAGAAGGGGACAGAGATCCTGTTCACCACACGAGAGTCCGTGGTCGCCTATTGCAACCGGTATGCAAACACGTGTCTGTTAGCGTGTGTGTTAGATCACACGTGTCTGTTAGATCACACGTGTCTGTTAGCGTGTGTGTTAGCGTGTGTGTTAGATCACACGTGTCTGTTAGATCACACGTGTGTGTTAGCGTGTGTGTTAGCGTGTGTGTTAGTGCGCCCGTGTGTGTTAGCGTGCCCGTGTGTGTTAGATCACACGTGTGTGTTAGTGCGCCCGTGTGTGTTAGATCACCCGTGCGTGTGAGATCACCTGTGTGTGTTAGTGCGCCCGTGCGTGTTAGCGTGCCCGTGCGTGTTAGCGCGCCCGTGCGTGTTAGCGTGCCCCCGTGTGTGTTAGTGCGCCCGTGCGTGTTAGCGTGCCCGTGCCTGTGTGTGTTAGTGCGCCCCTGTGTGTGTTAGTGCGCCCGTGCGTGTTAGCGTGCCCGTGCGTGTTAGCGTGCCCGTGCGTGCTAGCGTGCCCGTGCGTGTTAGCGCGCCCGTGCGTGTTAGCGTGCCCGTGCGTGTTAGCGTGCCCGTGCGTGCTAGCGTGCCCGTGCGTGTTAGCGCGCCCGTGCGTGTTAGCGTGCCCCCGTGTGTGTTAGCGTGCCCGTGCGTGTTAGCGTGCCCCCGTGTGTGTTAGCGTGCCCGTGTGTGTTAGCGTGCCCGTGCGTGCTAGCGTGCCCGTGCGTGTTAGCGCGCCCGTGCGTGTTAGTGCCCCCGTGCGTGTTAGCGCGCCCGTGCGTGTTAGCGTGCGTGTTAGTGCCCCCGTGCGTGTTAGCGTGCGTGTTAGTGCCCCCGTGTGTGTTAGCATGCCCCCGTGTGTGTTAGTGTGCCTGTGCGTGCTAGCGTGCCCGTGCGTGTTAGCATGCCCCCGTGTGTGTTAGTGTGCCTGTGCGTGTTAGCGTGCCCGTGCGTGTTAGCATGCCCTCGTGAGTGTTAGTGTGCCCGTGCGTGTTAGTGCCCCCGTGTGTGTTAGCGCGCCCATGCGTGTTAGCATGCCTCCGTGCGTGTTAGCGTGCCCGTGCGTGTTAGCGTGCCCCCGTGTGTGTTAGTGCGCCCGTGCGTGTTAGCGTGCCCGTGTGTGTTAGCGCGCCCGTGCGTGTTAGCGTGCCCGTGCGTGTTAGCGTGCCCGTGCGTGTTAGCGTGCCCCCGTGTGTGTTAGTGCGCCCGTGCGTGTTAGCGTGCCCGTGCGTGTTAGCGTGCCCGTGCGTGTTAGCGTGCCCGTGCGTGTTAGCGTGCCCCCGTGTGTGTTAGTGCGCCCGTGCGTGTTAGCGTGCGTGTTAGCGTGCCCGTGCGTGTTAGCGTGCCCCCGTGCGTGTTAGCGTGCGTGTCAGTGCTCCCGTGTGTGTTAGCGTGCCCGTGCGTGTTAGCGTGCGTGTTAGCATGCTCCCGTGTGTGTTAGCGTGCCCGTGCGTGTTAGCGTGCCCGTGCGTGTTAGCATGCCCCCGTGTGTGTTAGCGTGCCCCCGTGTGTGTTAGCGTGCCCGTGTGTGTTAGCGTGCCCCCGTGCGTGTTAGCGTGCCCCCGTGTGTGTTAGCGTGCCCCCGTGTGTGTTAGCATGCCCGTGCGTGTTAGCGTGCCCCCGTATGTGTTAGCATGCCCCCGTGTGTGTTAGCGTGCCCCCGTGTGTGTTAGCGTGCCCGTGTGTGTTAGCGTGCCCCCGTGTGTGTTAGCATGCCCCCGTGTGTGTTAGCGTGCCCCCGTGTGTGTTAGCGTGCCTGTGCGTGTTAGCGTGCCCGTGCGTGTTAGCATGCCCCCGTGTGTGTTAGCGTGCCCCCGTGCGTGTTAGCGTGCCCCCGTGTGTGTTAGCATGCCCGTGTGTGTTAGCGTGCCCCCGTGTGTGTTAGCGTGCCCCCGTGTGTGTTAGCGTGCCCCCATGTGTGTTAGCACGCCCGTGCGTGTTAGCGTGCCCGTGTGTGTTAGCGTGCCCCTGTGCGTGTTAGCGTGCCCCCGTGTGTGTTAGCGTGCCCCCGTGTGTGTTAGCGTGCCCCCGTGCGTGTTAGCGTGCCCCCGTGCGTGTTAGCGTGCCCCCGTGTGTGTTAGCGTGCCCCCGTGTGTGTTAGCGTGCCCGTGCGTGTTAGCGTGCCCCCGTGTGTGTTAGCGTGCCCCCGTGTGTGTTAGCGTGCCCCCGTGTGTGTTAGCGTGCCCGTGCGTGTTAGCGTGCCCCCGTGCGTGTTAGCGTGCCCCCGTGCGTGTTAGCGTGCCCCCGTGCGTGTTAGCGTGCCCGTGCGTGTTAGCGTGCCCCCGTGCGTGTTAGCATGCCCCCGTGCGTGTTAGCGTGCCCGTGCGTGTTAGCGTGCCCCCGTGTGTGTTAGCGTGCCCCCGTGCGTGTTAGCGTGCCCCCGTGCGTGTTAGCGTGCCCCCGTGCGTGTTAGCGTGCCCGTGCGTGTTAGCATGCCCCCGTGCGTGTTAGCGTGCCCGTGCGTGTTAGCGTGCCCCCGTGTGTGTTAGCATGCCCCCGTGCGTGTTAGCGTGCCCCCGTGCGTGTTAGCGTGCCCCCGTGTGTGTTAGCGTGCCCCCGTGCGTGTTAGCGTGCCCCCGTGCGTGTTAGCGTGCCCGTGCGTGTTAGCGTGCCCCCGTGCGTGTTAGCGTGCCCCCGTGCGTGTTAGCATGCCCCCGTGTGTGTTAGCGTGCCCCCGTGTGTGTTAGCGTGCCCCCGTGCGTGTTAGCGTGCCCCCGTGCGTGTTAGCGTGCCCGTGCGTGTTAGCGTGCCCCCGTGTGTGTTAGCATGCCCGTGCGTGTTAGCGTGCCCCCGTATGTGTTAGCATGCCCCCGTGTGTGTTAGCGTGCCCCCGTGTGTGTTAGCGTGCCCGTGTGTGTTAGCGTGCCCCCGTGTGTGTTAGCGTGCCCCCGTGTGTGTTAGCGTGCCCCCGTGTGTGTTAGCGTGCCTGTGCGTGTTAGCGTGCCCGTGCGTGTTAGCATGCCCCCGTGTGTGTTAGCGTGCCCCCGTGCGTGTTAGCGTGCCCCCGTGTGTGTTAGCATGCCCGTGTGTGTTAGCGTGCCCCCGTGTGTGTTAGCGTGCCCCCGTGTGTGTTAGCGTGCCCCCATGTGTGTTAGCATGCCCGTGCGTGTTAGCGTGCCCGTGTGTGTTAGCGTGCCCCTGTGCGTGTTAGCGTGCCCCCGTGTGTGTTAGCGTGCCCCCGTGTGTGTTAGCGTGCCCCCGTGCGTGTTAGCGTGCCCCCGTGCGTGTTAGCGTGCCCCCGTGTGTGTTAGCGTGCCCCCGTGTGTGTTAGCGTGCCCGTGCGTGTTAGCGTGCCCCCGTGCGTGTTAGCGTGCCCCCGTGTGTGTTAGCGTGCCCCCGTGTGTGTTAGCGTGCCCGTGCGTGTTAGCGTGCCCCCGTGCGTGTTAGCGTGCCCCCGTGCGTGTTAGCGTGCCCCCGTGCGTGTTAGCGTGCCCGTGCGTGTTAGCGTGCCCCCGTGCGTGTTAGCATGCCCCCGTGCGTGTTAGCGTGCCCGTGCGTGTTAGCGTGCCCCCGTGTGTGTTAGCGTGCCCCCGTGCGTGTTAGCGTGCCCCCGTGCGTGTTAGCGTGCCCCCGTGCGTGTTAGCGTGCCCGTGCGTGTTAGCATGCCCCCGTGCGTGTTAGCGTGCCCGTGCGTGTTAGCGTGCCCCCGTGTGTGTTAGCATGCCCCCGTGCGTGTTAGCGTGCCCCCGTGCGTGTTAGCGTGCCCCCGTGTGTGTTAGCGTGCCCCCGTGCGTGTTAGCGTGCCCCCGTGCGTGTTAGCGTGCCCGTGCGTGTTAGCGTGCCCCCGTGCGTGTTAGCGTGCCCCCGTGCGTGTTAGCATGCCCCCGTGTGTGTTAGCGTGCCCCCGTGTGTGTTAGCGTGCCCCCGTGCGTGTTAGCGTGCCCCCGTGCGTGTTAGCGTGCCCGTGCGTGTTAGCGTGCCCCCGTGTGTGTTAGCATGCCCCCGTGCGTGTTAGCGTGCCCGTGCGTGTTAGCGTGCCCCCGTGCGTGTTAGCATGCCCCCGTGTGTGTTAGCGTGCCCCCGTGCGTGTTAGCGTGCCCCCGTGCGTGTTAGCGTGCCCCCGTGCGTGTTAGCGTGCCCGTGCGTGTTAGCGTGCCCCCGTGCGTGTTAGCGTGCCCCCGTGTGTGTTAGCATGCCCCCGTGCGTGTTAGCATGCCCCCGTGCGTGTTAGCGTGCCCGTGCGTGTTAGCGTGCCCCCGTGCGTGTTAGCGTGCCCCCGTGCGTGTTAGCATGCCCGTGCGTGTTAGCGTGCCCCCGTGTGTGTTAGCGTGCCCCCGTGTGTGTTAGCGTGCCCCCGTGTGTGTTAGCGTGCCCCCGTGCGTGTTAGCGTGCCCGTGCGTGTTAGCGTGCCCCCGTGTGTGTTAGCGTGCCCCCGTGTGTGTTAGCGTGCCCCCGTGTGTGTTAGCATGCCCCCGTGTGTGTTAGCATGCCCCCGTGCGTGTTAGCGTGCCCGTGCGTGTTAGCGTGCCCCCGTGCGTGTTAGCGTGCCCCCGTGCGTGTTAGCATGCCCGTGCGTGTTAGCGTGCCCCCGTGTGTGTTAGCGTGCCCCCGTGTGTGTTAGCGTGCCCCCGTGTGTGTTAGCGTGCCCCCGTGCGTGTTAGCATGCCCGTGTGTGTTAGCGTGTCCCCGTGTGTGTTAGCGTGCCCCCGTGTGTGTTAGCGTGCCCCCGTGTGTGTTAGCATGCCCCCGTGCGTGTTAGCATGCCCCCGTGTGTGTTAGCATGCCCCCGTGCGTGTTAGTGCCCCCGTGCGTGTTAGCATGCCCGTGCGTGTTAGCGTGCCCCCGTGTGTGTTAGCGTGCCCCCGTGTGTGTTAGCATGCCCCCGTGCGTGTTAGCATGCCCCCGTGCGTGTTTTCATGCCCGTGCGTGTTAGCGTGCCCCCGTGTGTGTTAGCATGCCCGTGCGTGTTAGCGTGCCCCCGTGCGTGTTAGCGTGCCCCCGTGTGTGTTAGCGTGCCCCCGTGTGTGTTAGCATGCCCCCGTGCGTGTTAGCATGCCCCCGTGTGTGTTAGCATGCCCCCGTGCGTGTTAGCGTGCCCCCGTGCGTGTTAGCATGCCCGTGCGTGTTAGCGTGCCCCCGTGTGTGTTAGCATGCCCGTGCGTGTTAGCGTGCCCCCGTGTGTGTTAGCGTGCCCCCGTGTGTGTTAGCGTGCCCCCGTGTGTGTGTTAGCATGCCCGTGCGTGTTAGCGTGCCCCCGTGCGTGTTAGCATGCCCGTGCGTGTTAGCGTGCCCCCGTGTGTGTTAGCATGCCCCCGTGTGTGTTAGTGTGCCTGTGCGTGTTAGCATGCCCGTGCGTGTTAGCATGCCCGTGCGTGTTAGCATGCCCCCGTGCGTGTTAGCATGCCCCCGTGTGTGTTAGTGTGCCCGTGCGTGTTAGCGTGCCCGTGCGTGTTAGCATGCCCGTGCGTGTTAGCATGCCCCCGTGCGTGTTAGCATGCCCCTGTGCGTGTTAGCGTGCCCCCGTGTGTGTTAGTGCTCCCGTGCGTGTTAGCGTGCCCGTGCGTGTTAGCATGCCCCCGTGTGTGTTAGTGTGCCCGTGCATGTTAGCATGCCCCCGTGCATGTTAGCGTGCCCCCGTGCGTGTTAGCGTGCCCCCGTGTGTGTTAGTGCTCCCGTGCGTGTTAGCGTGCCCGTGCGTGTTAGCATGCCCCCGTGTGTGTTAGCGTGCCCGTGCGTGTTAGCATGCCCCCGTGTGTGTTAGCGTGCCCGTGCGTGTTAGCGTGCCCCCGTGTGTGTTAGCGTGCCCGTGCGTGTTAGCATGCCCCCGTGTGTGTTAGCGTGCGTGTTAGCGTGCCCGTGCGTGTTAGCATGCCCGTGCGTGTTAGCACGCCCGTGCGTGTTAGCATGCCCCCGTGCGTGTTAGCATGCCCCCGTGCGTGTTAGCGCGCCGTGTGTGTTAGCATGCCCCCGTGTGTGTTAGCATGCCCCCGTGCGTGTTAGCATGCCCGTGCGTGTTAGCATGCCCCCGTGCGTGTTAGCATGCCCCCGTGCGTGTTAGCGCGCCGTGTGTGTTAGCATGCCCCCGTGCGTGTTAGCATGCCCCCGTGCGTGTTAGCATGCCCGTGCGTGTTAGCATGCCCCCGTGCGTGTTAGCATGCCCCCGTGCGTGTTAGCGCGCCGTGTGTGTTAGCATGCCCCCGTGCGTGTTAGCATGCCCCGTGCGTGTTAGCATGCCCGTGCGTGTTAGCATGCCCCCGTGCGTGTTAGCGCGCCGTGTGTGTTAGCATGCCCCCGTGCGTGTTAGCATGCCCCCGTGCGTGTTAGCATGCCCGTGCGTGTTAGCACGCCCGTGTGTGTTAGCATGCCCCCGTGCGTGTTAGCATGCCCCCGTGCGTGTTAGCATGCCCCCGTGCGTGTTAGCGCGCCGTGTGTGTTAGCGTGCCCCCGTGTGTGTTAGCGCGCCCGTGCGTGTTAGCGTGCCCCCGTGTGTGTTAGCATGCCCGTGCGTGTTAGCGTGCCCCCGTGCGTGTTAGCATGCCCGTGCGTGTTAGCGTGCCCCCGTGTGTGTTAGCATGCCCCCGTGTGTGTTAGTGTGCCTGTGCGTGTTAGCATGCCCGTGCGTGTTAGCATGCCCCCATGCGTGTTAGCATGCCCCCGTGTGTGTTAGTGTGCCTGTGCGTGTTAGCATGCCCGTGCGTGTTAGCATGCCCGTGCGTGTTAGCATGCCCCCGTGCGTGTTAGCATGCCCCCGTGTGTGTTAGTGTGCCTGTGCGTGTTAGCATGCCCGTGCGTGTTAGCATGCCCGTGCGTGTTAGCATGCCCCCGTGCGTGTTAGCATGCCCCCGTGTGTGTTAGTGTGCCCGTGCGTGTTAGCGTGCCCGTGCGTGTTAGCATGCCCGTGCGTGTTAGCATGCCCCCGTGCGTGTTAGCATGCCCCCGTGCGTGTTAGCGTGCCCCCGTGTGTGTTAGTGCTCCCGTGCGTGTTAGCGTGCCCGTGCGTGTTAGCATGCCCCCGTGTGTGTTAGTGTGCCCGTGCGTGTTAGCATGCCCCCGTGCATGTTAGCGTGCCCCCGTGCGTGTTAGCGTGCCCCCGTGTGTGTTAGTGCTCCCGTGCGTGTTAGCGTGCCCGTGCGTGTTAGCATGCCCCCGTGTGTGTTAGCGTGCCCGTGCGTGTTAGCATGCCCCCGTGTGTGTTAGCGTGCCCGTGCGTGTTAGCGTGCCCCCGTGTGTGTTAGCGTGCCCGTGCGTGTTAGCATGCCCCCGTGTGTGTTAGCGTGCCCGTGCGTGTTAGCGTGCCCGTGCGTGTTAGCACGCCCGTGCGTGTTAGCGTGCCCCCGTGCGTGTTAGCATGCCCCCGTGCGTGTTAGCATGCCCCCGTGCGTGTTAGCATGCCCCCGTGCGTGTTAGCATGCCCGTGCGTGTTAGCATGCCCCCGTGCGTGTTAGCGCGCCGTGTGTGTTAGCATGCCCCCGTGCGTGTTAGCATGCCCCCGTGCGTGTTAGCATGCCCGTGCGTGTTAGCACGCCCGTGTGTGTTAGCATGCCCCCGTGCGTGTTAGCATGCCCCCGTGCGTGTTACATGCCCCCGTGCGTGTTAGCGCGCCGTGTGTGTTAGCGTGCCCCCGTGTGTGTTAGCGCGCCCGTGCGTGTTAGCGCGCCCGTGCGTGTTAGCGCGCCCGTGCGTGTGGGGAGCGGTAGCGTCGTGGTTATCGTGCTGCGCTACGAACCCCGCGATCCGAGAGTCCAATTCCCGTCCACGGACAATAACAGCGATGAATATTTCAACCAGTTCTGGGCCTCCCCTAGGTCGACCGAGCCTTTAATAAGTGCCTGTTGGTGCGTGTAAACTTCGCGACTGGGGAGACAGAGGCGGCCAGATGTGGTGTTGGCCACACCACCTCCTCCGGTGCCACGTCCAGTCATAGGTGCATGGTGAAGGCAACAGGGGGGGGGGGATCGTTGCCTTTGTGTGCGTGTGTACTTTTGTGTGTATTTCTGTATCATTAGTGACTCGTTGCTTTATATCGGAACTGATGCTCAGCGGTGCTAATTCCTTCCCCTCTTCCCCATCCTCCTCCTACCACTCCTCCTCCTCCTGTTCCTCCTCCCCTTTATCCACCCTCTACCTTCTTCCCCACCCCCCACCTCCTCCTCCCTCTCCTCCCCCCCCCATCCTTCCCCTCCTACTCCGCCGCCCCACCAGGCTGCTGCAGAAGCAGTACTTCCACCGTGCGCTCAAGGTGATCAAGAAGCGGCCGGACAGGGAGGGCAAGCGCGAGAAGCTGGAGCCGCCCAAGGAGGAGGAGAAGAAGGGCAAGAGGGAGAAGGAGAGGAAGAAGGACGGCGACAAGAAAGACAAAGAGGGAGACGCCAAGAGGGACGCTCGCAAGGTACGGAGGAGGAGAAGGGTTGTTCCCGACGGTGGATGACGCAGCACGGCCTCGTGACCGCTTCGTCAGCAGTGTCTCGTGCCAGGTGTGAACAGGGTGGTGGTGTGGGGGGGGTGGAGAGGCAATTTGCTACGTGCGGTGTTCATGAAGTCGCTGCCTCTGCGATTTTGGCTGCCCGCAAGAGGCACACTGGAACTGGACGCAGCTGCTGCATCGAGAGAGGGAGGGAGAACGCGATGAGATAGCAATGAGATCACAACGATCATCGTCACCGCCGTCGTCATTGCTGCGCCCTTCTGCTGCGCAAATGTAATCGCTGCTAAATCTGGCTCTGAACTCGCTGCTGAGTGAGCTGGATCAGTGATAATGGACACGTCGTTAAGGCGCTTGTACAACACGTCACAGTTTTGTTGGTTTTGGCCGGGTCGGGTGGTGAAGGGTTTCACGGCATAGATTTGGCAAGATCATTACGTGGCCCCACCCAATGAATAAATGAGTGGTAATATTTATGAATGGACTTGCGTGATATATGAATAGGCTGGCAATATTTATGAGTGGACTGGTGATAATTATTGGAATGGGAATAAATTTATGAATGAACTTATTCTTTGGGTCTTTCGGTAAAGTCATGTAGATAGGTTCAAGGAAAAAAAAAAAAATAATAAAACTACGATGTTTCGATCACAACTGAGTAGCTGGTGACTTGGGTTCCTGATGACGATCGCTTATGTTGCGATCGAGTCGTCGTAGTTTTTTGTTATTTTTTTTAACCTATCTAGTGACTTTACTGAAAGACCCAAAGAATATGAATTCCTCCAGTCACGAAAGCTTTAAGTCGGTACTTATGAATGGAGTGGCAATATTTATGAATTGAGTGGCGTTCTTTATGAATGGACCGGTGTGACTTGGTCGCTGTTGAGTCGACGTCTGGGTGCCCTGTGCATGGAGGAGGACGAGCCGGGCAGCCCAAAGAAGAAGAAAGATGCAAAGAGGAGGATGAAACTTGAGCCCCACGACAAGCAAATCTTCGTCGACGGCAACGAGGTGAGAGCCCACCCACCCCTCCCTCGTCACACCACCCACCCCTCCCTCGTCACACCACCCACCCCTCCCTCGTCACACCACCCACCCCTCCCTCGTCACACCACCCACCCCCTCCCTCGTCACACCACCCACCCCTCCCTCGTCACACCACCCACCCCCTCCCTCGTCACACCACCCACCCATCCCTCGTCACACCACCCACCCCTCCCTCGTCACACCACCCACCCATCCCTCGTCACACCACCCACCCCTCCCTTGTCACACCACCCACCCCTCCCTTGTCACACCACCCACCCCTCCCTCGTCACACCACCCACCCCCTCCCTTGTCACACCACCCACCCATCCCTCGTCACACCACCCACCCCCTCCCTTGTCACACCACCCACCCCTCCCTCGTCACACCACCCACCCCCTCCCTCGTCACACCACCCACCCCTCCCTCGTCACACCACCCACCCCTCCCTCGTCACACCACCCACCCCTCCCTCGTCACACCACCCACCCCTCCCTTGTCACACCACCCACCCCTCCCTCGTCACACCACCCACCCCTCCCTCGTCACACCACCCACCCCTCCCTTGTCACACCACCCACCCCCTCCCTCGTCACACCACCCACCCCCTCCCTCGTCACACCACCCACCCCTCCCGTGAGCGGGTGCCGATTTCCTCGCCGTGTTCTTCCCCCCCGCGCCCCCCGCAGGTTTTCGTGTGGATCTACGACCCCGTTCACCCCAAGACGTTCATCATGGGGCTCATCTTGGGTGCGTCCCCTAGGTCAACTTGGCCTCAAATGAGCATTCTTTGTGTGTTGTGTCTGCTGTAAGAGTGCTGTATTTGTGTCTTTGCTGCAGTGGTATGTGCTGTGCTCTGTAGTTGTATGCGCGCCTTCGATTAGCACGGTTGGCTACGTACGGTGTGAAAGAAGTTCAACTTGCGTATCATACATATGTCCGTGTGTGTTGAGTGTGCTGGAGTTGTGTTTGCTGCGTTTGTGGGCTGTGTGCTGCGTCTGTGTGCTGCGTCTGTGTGCTGCGTCTGTGTGCTGCGTCTGTGTGCTGCGTCTGTGTGCTGCGTCTGTGTGCTGCGTCTGTGGGCTGTGTGGTGCATCTGTGTGGTGCGTCTGTGTGCTGCGTCTGTGTGCTGCGTCTGTGTGGTGCGTCTGTGTGCTGCGTCTGTGTGCTGCGTCTGTGTGCTGCGTCTGTGTGCTGCGTCTGTGGGTTGTGTGGTGCGTCTGTGTGGTGCGTCTGTGTGGTGCGTCTGTGGTGCGTCTGTGTGGTGCGTCTGTGGGCTGTGTGGTGCGTCTGTGGGCTGTGTGGTGCGTCTGTGTGGTGCGTCTGTGTGGTGCGTCTGTGTGGTGCGTCTGTGTGGTGCGTCTGTGGTGCGTCTGTGTGCTGCGTCTGTGTGCTGCGTCTGTGTGCTGCGTCTGTGCTGCGTCTGTGTGCTGCGTCTGTGGGCTGTGTGGTGCGTCTGTGTGGTGCGTCTGTGGTGCGTCTGTGTGGTGCGTCTGTGTGGTGCGTCTGTGTGGTGCGTCTGAGTGCTGCGTCTGTGTGGTGCGTCTGTGTGGTGCGTCTGTGGTGCGTCTGAGTGGTGCGTCTGTGTGGTGCGTCTGTGGTGCGTCTGTGTGGTGCGTCTGTGTGCTGCGTCTGTGTGGTGCGTCTGTGGTGCGTCTGAGTGCTGCGTCTGTGTGGTGCGTCTGTGTGGTGCGTCTGTGTGGTGCGTCTGTGTGGTGCGTCAGTGTGCTGCGTCTGTGTGGTGCGTCTGTGGTGCGTCTGTGTGCTGCGTCTGTGTGCTGCGTTTGTGTGCTGTATCTGTGCGGTGCGTCTGTGTGCTGTGCGGTGCGTCTGTGTGGTGCGTCTGTGCTGTGTCTGTGTGGTGCGTCTGTGTGCTGCGTCTGTGTGCTGCGTCTGTGTGCTGCGTCTGTGTGGTGCGTCTGTGTGCTGCGTCTGTGTGCTGCGTCTGTGTGCTGCGTCTGTGTGCTGCGTCTGTGGTGCGTCTGTGTGCTGCGTCTGTGTGCTGCGTCTGTGTGGTGCGTCTGTGTGCTGCGTCTGTGTGCTGCGTCTGTGTGCTGCGTCTGTGTGCTGCGTCTGTGTGCTGCGTCTGTGTGCTGCGTCTGTGTGGTGCGTCTGTGTGCTGCGTCTGTGTGCTGCGTCTGTGTGCTGCGTCTGTGTGCTGCGTCTGAGTGCTGCGTCTGTGTGCTGCGTCTGTGTGCTGCGTCTGTGTGGTGCGTCTGTGTGGTGCGTCTGTGTGGTGCGTCTGTGTGCTGCGTCTGTGTGCTGCGTCTGTGGGTTGTGTGGTGCGTCTGTGTGGTGCGTCTGTGTGGTGCGTCTGTGGTGCGTCTGTGTGGTGCGTCTGTGTGCTGCGTCTGTGTGGTGCGTCTGTGTGCTGCGTCTGTGTGCTACGTCTGTGTGCTGCGTCTGTGTGCTGCGTCTGTGTGCTGCGTCTGTGTGGTGCGTCTGTGTGGTGCGTCTGTGTGCTGCGTCTGTGTGGTGCGTCTGTGTGGTGCGTCTGTGTGGTGCGTCTGTGTGCTGCGCCTGTGTGGTGCGTCTGTGTGGTGCGTCTGTGTGGTGCGTCTGTGTGGTGCGTCTGTGTGGTGCGTCTGTGTGCTGCGTCTGTGTGGTGCGTCTGTGTGCTGCGTCTGTGTGGTGCGTCTGTGTGGTGCGTCTGTGTGGTGCGTCTGAGTGCTGCGTCTGTGGTGCGTCTGTGTGGTGCGTCTGTGTGGTGCGTCTGTGTGGTGCGTCTGTGTGCTGCGTCTGTGTGCTGCGTCTGTGTGGTGCGTCTGTGTGGTGCGTCTGTGTGCTGCGTCTGTGTGGTGCGTCTGTGTGGTGCGTCTGTGGTGCGTCTGAGTGCTGCGTCTGTGTGGTGCGTCTGTGTGGTGCGTCTGTGTGCTGCGTCTGTGTGGTGCGTCTGTGTGGTGCGTCTGTGTGCTCCGTCTGTGTGCTGCGTCTGTGTGCTGCGTCTGTGTGCTGTGCGGTGCGTCTGTGTGCTGCGTCTGTGTGCTGCGTCTGTGTGGTGCGTCTGTGTGGTGCGTCTGTGTGCTGCATCTGTGCGCTGTGTGTGTGGTGCTGTGTGGCGCAGTGATTGCGGTGATTGCGGCGACGCTGTTCCCGCTGTGGCCGGCCGAGATGCGTGTGGGCGTTTACTACCTGAGCGTGGCAGCCGGCTGCTTCATCGGAGGCATCCTCTTCCTGGCCGTCGGTGAGTCCCTCCCTCACGCACACCCAGCCTACACAAAGACAAAGATCCCCCTCATAGCCTTAACAGACTGTAGGGGCAAGTGCTGTTAGCGAGCACCTATAAAGGCCGACACGGCACACGAGGGGGTGAGTGGCCAGCACCGCGCCTGGCCGCCTTTGTCTCCCTAGTGGCGATGTTTTACACGCCCCACCAGGTACTCATTTGAGGCTGAATCAACCTAGGGGAGGCCCAGGACCAGTTTAGATAATCGTCACTGGTGTTGGCCTTGAGCGAGAATCGAACTCGGGCCGCTGAGTTCATAGTGCAGCGCGCTAACCGCTACACTGGCGCTCTCCACACATACACAAGTCTTTGCCCGCCCATCCACGCCACTTGCCCGTACGTCTCTCTGTGCGTCCACCTGTCTAACCGCACGTGCCCACCTTTGTCCTCCCCCCCCCCCCCCGCCGTGGCCTCTCACGTCCGTCTCCACCACCCCGTGTCTCTCTCCTCCTCCCCGTCCCCCAGCGCGCTGCATCCTCTTCATGCTCATCTGGCTGCTGACGGGCGGCCGCCACCACTTCTGGCTGCTGCCCAACCTCACCGCCGACGTGGGCTTCCTCGACTCGTTCCGTCCGCTCTACACGCACGAGCGACAAACCGGGACCGCCGGAGCCGCCGGAGCCGCCGCTGCCGTCGCCGCGTCGTCTTCGATGTTGCCGGAATCGGCGGCGGCGGCGGCCAAATCCGACGCCGGAAAACGCGGCTCGACGAGCGGAACGACGGGGGAGGCCTGCGCCGAGGCCGTCGTGCCCAAGACCCTGGGGCCGTCCAACGGCACGGACAGCGACGACGACGACGGCGACGGAGGCGGGCCGGTCAAGGCCGACAATGACGACGACTACGAGGAGGAGGAAGAGGAGGAGGATGACGAGGCGGGCGGGAAGAGAGGGACGGACGAAGGCAGCGACCAGAGCAACGGCAATGACTTTGAGGTGATCTCGCAGGAGGAGATCGACGGGGGCTCTCACGGCGATGGCGGCGACGGCGGCGCTGACGACGGCGGCGATGGCGGCGGGAGAAAGCGGAAGGAGGAGGCGGCCGACGAGGCAGGGGCCAGCGCGTCGTCGCATCCCTAAGATGGAACAGCCGCCGCCGCCTCCGAACTTTCTCTCCGTTGACTGCGGCCGCGTCGTCGCTCCCACACCCGCACCTCCTCGCCGTCTCTCCTCCTCCTCGTTTCTCCTCATCCAATCTTGAGTTCCGCCAAACGGTCATCGCTCCTCGGGTGCGCACGATTTCCGAGTCGCGATCATTCCACCGCCACGCCCCCCCCGCCACCGGGGTGGTGGGGGTTGTTGTGCCCGTGGTCGCGCTGTTCACGCGACGTCCCCCCGACGTTTTGCTTCTCGTGCCGGGCGGGGGCGGGGGGTGGCGGTGATCCGATTCCCGCCGCTGAAGAAGCGGCACGTGGAGCGAAACGTCGGACGTCGTGACTCGCAGCGGAGAGCGGCTGCCACCTCCCCCTCTTCCCTCCCACGTCCTCCCCCCACCTCGGCCCCTCCACTGTCTCGTCCCTCACCTGTCTGTCTCGCGCCCCTCCCATTTAATTTCCTCTCTCTTCCTGACCCCGCTGCTCTTCTTCTGTGGAGGTGGGTAGCGTGTGTGTGTTTGCGCGTGTGTGCGCGCGCGCGTGTGCGACGCGTCTGATCCAGTGTTAATTGCCACGCCGCTTTGCGTTGCGTTAGATTGCTTGGGGGGCGGTAGCGTTAGTGCGGTCGCACCGTAGCCAGTGCTTGAACTCCTCAGTGTTTTGCGGGTCGCCGGTAGACTGGAGTACGTGGCACGTGCCTCACGAGTGCCCAGAGCGACAGAGATGCAACACTGTGGAAGTGCTGTCCCGGTTGCGGATATACAGGGTCAATCCAGTTAGAGATAGGCCGCCGATTTCCACTCTCTCTCTATGCCTCTCCTCAACACAGGTGAATGTTGTGGAGGCAATGATGTCTCAATTATCTCGCAGAGGGGTCGAGCGTTGGTACGCGAGTTTATTGAGTATTGGTGGCGGACAGGTAACAAAGAGGCTCCAAAATAAAGTGTCGTTTACATCGTCGCCCCCTGCCAAACAGGACACTGTGTTGCCCACTTGCAGGCCTCGACTTGTGCTGCACAGGGACAGCTGCCACTGGGGGTGGGGGTCCCCTAGGCCAGAAAAGAGAGAAAATAAACGACAATGTTGATGCAAGATGTGCTCTGAGATGCCGGGTCAATTTTTAGCAACCGGTGGAATGGAAATCCAACATTGTCTCGCCATCAAGCCGTGGATGAAGGTCGTGCCAAGCCACTGCCTGCCATCCCCCTCTCCTCTCCCCCCTCTCACCATCTTGCGATGCGGCAATCCATCCCAGCCACCTGCACAATCCATTTGTTTGCAGATTCCTCGAGGTTAGCAGCAGCTGTCTGTAAACGGATCGCCCGTTGTGCGTGTTTCACTGATCGCGTACCAGAAAAATAAGCAAAAACTGTCCCCCTGTCTGTAATTGACCTCCGGTGGTCGTAAGAGGAAGGTGAAGTCTCGGTCATTTCATAGACGATGTTAGCGCACAAAGAGGAGCGATGAGGACGTGAGGAGGAGGGGACGGTGAGCAGTGAAGCCAACACGCGGCAGGCTCCGGGCTCCTCCCACCAGGTCGCCCTCGACCTGGTGGCTGGAGGCAGTCTCGCAAGCTCAGCAGGCCCGAGCCTGGTTAAGCACGTGCACGGGAACGCCCCATCTTGAGCCACAAGGGTGGCCGCAAAGGGAAATGGCGCTCGTGAGTGTTAATCCCTCGCGCGTGTGGGGTTTTCTCCCGGGTGCTCCCCCCCAGAGTCTCGAGACTCGGGGGTTGAGGTTCTGCAGAGGCACAGCCCTGCAGTCTGCTGGCTCCCGCCCCGCTGGTGTTGGAATGGCCTCCCTCGAACGGGAGAGAGCCCGAGAGAGGAGGGGGTGCAGTATTTGTTCTATACACCTCCGCTGCTGAGCAGTCGTGTTTGTTGGAAGAGGCGGGCGTACGCGGACCGCCCATTAGCCGCGGTGAGATGGTGAAGCCATTTAAACTGCCGCGCCGGGAGATGCGCCCCAACTGGCACCCCCACCCCCTCCTCTGGGTTGCAAGTCCGGTGCGCTGGACATTGCAGCAAGCGGGCACGCTTGCTCTTGCCATGGCTTTAGCTCTTAAGAGTTGGTCGAGTCACGGGGAGTGTCTCCACATTGGAGGAGCAGGAGTGTGGGACGGGGAATCGAACCGAGCCGAGCGATCCTCGAGGGCCGTTCCGTGTTCACCGTCTCGCTTTGCTAGCGCGCCCATCTCCGCCCGTTTTGGAAGTGTGCAACGCTAAAGTAACTGTCACATAAATACGATAAAAAAAAACATTTAAATGTCCGTGTCTGTTCTATGGTAACATTATTAACTGTGCAAGTATCAAGGTGGAATTAAAAACACTTCTTAATCGCTCGCATGCCCCGATCTTGTGCCTGTGTCCGCTGGATGCTGTGAAAGTTGTATCAGAAGCACTTGTGGTGGTGCTGCTGATGGTGATGATGAACAGGGCCGTCCGTAAGGGGCAGCTCGCACTGTGGTGCCTTCAAACTAAACCGGAAGTATTACACCGTGACGTCACAACACGGGGCCCCCCAAAGCGCGGGGCACGGGGCAGTCGCCCCGATTCGCCGCGTACCCCGGGGACGGGCTCTGCACTCCCATGGATTGCGTGAGTATCAGCGGTGTGTTAGACGCACGTACGGAGATCCCCCATGTAGCCTTGAGCAGACGGCTGGGGCAAGTGGTGTTAGCGAGGACCGATGAAGACCGGTTCGGCACACAAACAGCAACAACCACCGCGCAACTCGGTGGCGGGGACGTGACCACGGCGCTTGTGCCACCCTAGCTGCACTTTGAGGCCACGTGAAGTGTCGACGGGCTCCCCTGTTGGCAGGAAGGAGAACAGACCCCCCCCTCCCACGTCCCATGGGTTGACCGACTGAGATGACTGGCAGATGCACCAACGAGCTACGCAACCAGCAGCGGTGTTACCCTGCTGGATGGCCGAGGAGTGTCGACTCAATGGCCCAGTGGGAACTGCCCCGCGTTGCTCTGTGGGTAGAGTCCTACAACACCACGCTGGGCAGCTTGATCTGCTGCCTGTTCCGCTGTACATTCATGTGGCAAGGAGTTTGGGCGGGTTCGACCACGTGCTCCGAACCTTGTGACACGGGACCGTTGGGTTGTAGCAGCTGGATGCTGCGTAAACCCGCGGTGGGTGTGTAACCCACGTGGTCGAGTGTGTATAACTCACATGTGGTAGAGTGTGTGTATAACTCAAATGTGGTTAAGTGTGTGTATTGTGGGGCCCGATGTCCACCCCACCATCCTCGCTCGGCATGTGGGGCGCGGCATCCGCCCGTTCCGCTCCCTCCACCGCGCCCTCTCTGAGGGACAAACTCGTGCTGCTGTGAACGCGCTCGCACCTGCGGGCGATTACCTCTTAACGCACGCGCTCGCCGCGGCTCCGCGTTCACTCTCGCCGCGCGTTCCACCACGCAGTTGCTCCACAAAGAAATCACAGACACCACACCTATTCTCTGTGCTAACTTTTATTCTTGGCGCAACAACACACTACCAGGGGGAATATTTTGTGAGAAGAGTTTAGCCTACTGCAGTCACTCAAACGTCCTATCACGTACCTCGTAGCTGTACTTGCGGCGTTGCACGGACGCTGTGAGAGGCGGAGGGAAGAGGACGAAAAGCCTTGCCTATCACTGCCTCGTAGCAGCACTCGCTGGCATCACACGGATGCTGCGAGTAGCTCGAGAAGGGCAGGATGGTAGTGGGGGGATCTTGGTGGCCAAGATGTTGAAGAAGAGTCTCCCTCGAACGGCCTCAGGCTCCCCTTTTATCCCCCTGTACCGCACGGCCAACCGTGCGCCTGTCTGTGATTACAGCCCCGTTTTTTCTCCTTTGGCTGGTAACCCCTCCACCTTCAATCTAAGTACCACTAAACCAAGGAATAAAAATTTAATTAAGCTTGTGCTGGAGTCCCCAGGGGAACAGGCATCCATGACGTTTCCTGGCCAAACCCCATTTGGCGGAGCCAGGAGATTGAATCCTTACCCTCGGGGTTCCTCCAAGAAATAGCAAAAAGCCACTGTGGGTGGCCATGTGCAATTTCAGGAGCTGGACCAGTACCGCCTGGATTTCTGTGGTATTCAGGAGGTCCGGTGGACCGGCTCTGGCCCCTGCCACCATGAAGGGTGGACAGTCCTCTACTCGGGGCAGGAGACTGCCAAACAACAGGGAGTGGCTCTTCTTCTGAACAAAATAATGAAGGGGACATGGGAGCGTTGCGGTGAGGTGTGGGAAGCTGTAAGCCCCAGGCTACTTTGGGCTCGCCTTCCCTTCAACCAAAGGTGAGGAGTGGTGGTTGTGGTTACTTATGCCCCCACCGAAGACGAACATCCGTGGAGGGATGAAGGCAATGTCGATGAGTCAGATGCCTTCTATGACCTGTCACAGGTGCTAGCTAAAGTGGCCCCTCGGGATAGAGTCATCTTGTTGGGTGACTTCAATTCCCCAGTTGGTCACGATACTGGCACCTGGTCTGGAGTGATTGGAAGGCATGGGCCAGATCAGCTCAATAACAACGGTAGGAAGCTGCTAAACGTTTGTGCAGCCCATGGACTTGTAATTACCAACACGCTGTTGTGGCATCGGCGCATCCACACAACAATGGATGCATGCCGGGTCCAAGCAAAAACATCTGCTGGACTACATAGTGACGGAACAGCGGATGCGGGTACTTGTCTTTGACACCAAGACCTACCGTGGAGCTGATCTGCCCACTGACCAGGTAAAACCTTAACTGTTTATGGTTGTTCCATCATATCTGCCGGGTACTAGTCTATTTTTCCGAGTTAATTTCCCCCCGCATCCCCAGCGTTTGGCATTGCTGCTGCATTGGCATTGTTACTGCATTGGCATTGTTACTGCATTGGCATTGTTGCTGCATTGGCATTGTTACTGCATTGGCATTGTTACTGCATTGGCATTGTTGCTGCATTGGCATTGTTACTGCATTGGCATTGTTGCTGCATTGGCATTGTTGCTGCATTGGCATTGTTACTGCATTGGCATTGTTGCTGCATTGGCATTGTTACTGCATTGGCATTGTTGCTGCATTGGCATTGTTACTGCATTGGCATTGTTACTGCATTGGCATTGTTACTGCATTGGCATTGTTACTGCATTGACATTGTTGCTGCATTGGCATTGTTACTGCATTGGCATTGTTACTGCATTGGCATTGTTGCTGCATTGGCATTGCTGCTGCATTGGCATTGTTACTGCATTGGCATTGTTGCTGCATTGGCATTGTTGCTGCATTGGCATTGTTACTGCATTGGCATTGTTGCTGCATTGGCATTGTTGCTGCATTGGCATTGCTGCTGCATTGGCATTGTTGCTGCATTGGCATTGTTACTGCATTGGCATTGTTGCTGCATTGGCATTGCTGCTGCATTGGCTTTGCTGCTGCATTGGCATTGTTACTGCATTGGCATTGTTGCTGCATTGGCATTGTTACTGCATTGGCATTGTTGCTGCATTGGCATTGTTACTGCATTGGCATTGTTGCTGCATTGGCATTGTTACTGCATTGGCATTGTTACTGCATTGGCATTGTTACTGCATTGGCATTGTTACTGCATTGGCATTGTTGCTGCATTGGCATTGTTACTGCATTGGCATTGTTGCTGCATTGGCATTGTTACTGCATTGGCATTGTTACTGCATTGGCATTGTTACTGCATTGGCATTGTTACTGCATTGGCATTGTTGCTGCATTGGCATTGTTACTGCATTGGCATTGTTACTGCATTGGCATTGTTGCTGCATTGGCATTGCTGCTGCATTGGCATTGTTACTGCATTGGCATTGTTGCTGCATTGGCATTGTTGCTGCATTGGCATTGTTGCTGCATTGGCATTGCTGCTGCATTGGCATTGTTACTGCATTGGCATTGTTACTGCATTGGCATTGTTACTGCATTGGCATTGCTGCTGCATTGGCATTGTTGCTGCATTGGCATTGTTGCTGCATTAGCATTGTTACTGCATTGGCATTGTTACTGCATTGGCATTGTTGCTGCATTGGCATTGCTGCTGCATTGGCATTGTTGCTGCATTGGCATTGTTACTGCATTGGCATTGTTGCTGCATTGGCATTGTTGCTGCATTGGCATTGCTGCTGCATTGGCATTGTTGCTGCATTGGCATTGTTACTGCATTGGCATTGTTGCTGCATTGGCATTGCTGCTGCATTGGCATTGCTGCTGCATTGGCTTTGCTGCTGCATTGGCATTGTTACTGCATTGGCATTGTTACTGCATTGGCATTGTTACTGCATTGGCATTGCTGCTGCATTGGCTTTGCTGCTGCATTGGCATTGTTACTGCATTGGAATTGTTACTGCATTGGCATTGCTGCTGCATTGGCATTGTTACTGCATTGGCATTGCTGCTGCATTGGCATTGCTGCTGCATTGGCATTGTTACTGCATTGGCATTGTTGCTGCATTGGCATTGCTGCTGCATTGGCATTGTTACTGCATTGGCATTGTTACTGCATTGGCATTGCTGCTGCATTGGCTTTGCTGCTGCATTGGCATTGTTACTGCATTGGCATTGCTGCTGCATTGGCATTGTTACTGCATTGGCATTGTTGCTGCATTGGCATTGCTGCTGCATTGGCATTGTTACTGCATTGGCATTGTTACTGCATTGGCATTGCTGCTGCATTGGCATTGTTACTGCATTGGCATTGTTACTGCATTGGCATTGTTGCTGCATTGGCATTGCTGCTGCATTGGCATTGCTGCTGCATTGGCATTGCTGCTGCATTGGCACTCGTGCACCGCCCGTGCTTCTGGTGTTGTGGCTACCCTTATAAACAGTTTGCCTTTAGAGGCTGACCCCTTTGCCTGATGACGACCACTTGTGTTGCGATCGAAACGTCGTGATTTGTTTTATTCTATTTCTACGTGACTGTACTGAAAGAACCAAAGAGTAACAAGAGTAATCAAAAGGTTACGTCCTCCAAATGGACCCCCCCCCCCCGTTCATAATAACTAGCCAGTGACGTCACTCCACATGGGGGGGGGGCGAGGCACCTCCTCCCCCCTCCTCGGCGTCAACTCACCACCCTCACTACAAAGGCAGAACCCTCACGTCACGTGATCTCCGTAACGCTGTTGAGACATCGAAGTAAAAAGGAGGTCGTGATGAACAAGGGGTTATAACCTTACATGAAATAAGTCTGTGTCACCGCGCCCTTACAAATTGCACACGAATTGATGCAATGAATATATCATGTCGCGGTCTGCTTTTCGCTTGCAAGTTTCAGATTTACTGAAATACACCCGTCTTTGGACGGGCAAAAGGCTAGTGTTAAAGATACACTTCATTAATTTCTACATCATATCAATTCACAAAACCCGGTCATCCAGTTCACCATGGTAATGGAGGTGAATAACACGCTCCCTTTCCTAGATATTTTGCTCGAACACGGCCTAAATGGTAAAATAACACACAGCTGATGCCTATCTGAATGCAGATTCGCATCAGCACCCTGCACAGAAATCCTCTCTCATCGAGACGCTCATACATCGGGCTAAAACAGTGGCAGATGGTGAAAGTCTGAGGAGAGAGATTATACATGTTGAAGAAGCACTACAATTGAATGGCTACAGCAATGCTCAAATTAACAGAGCATTGAATGCCAAACCAGCAATTTTGCTGAAAGCGATAAGATTATTAAAACTATTAAAATACCATATATCGCGGGAGTCACTGACACATTAGCTCTAGTTTTGCAAAAGCAAAACATCAAAGTAAGATTTGGCACAGGAAACAAATTTCAAAAACTAGTATCTTGGTACTAAAGAAACATTGCCTAAGTTATCAACAGAAGGTGTGTATCAGATTAATTGCTTATGTGGCAGATTCTATATTGGACAAACTGGAAGTAACATTAGCGTAAGACTAAAAGAACAACAAATAAATATTAAACACTCACAAACACAACTGTCGGCAGTTGCAGAACATGCTTGCCAACAAGGACACTCAATTGATTTTGATAACGTTGAAGTGTTGTGTAAAACTAATTTTTGCTGCATCATGGGACCTCCTTTGCCAGTACTAAAGTATGATAATAAGTTTCCCCCTCTTTTCTGGCAACAAAACAAGGTGTTAAGATGTTAAAACACCAAACTGAAACCTGTTACAAGGAACCATGTCTGCATTAACCGCAATACTTGTGGTCAGAATGCAAACAAAAACATACTCTGATAATATATGCATTGTCTTTTAAACTGATTGGTTCACACCAGAGACAGCTTTCTTTCGAGCCTAGTCTCAAACGCTGTTAGACCAAAGGACGCGTCTCTGGTGAGGACCAATCAGATTCAAAGAAAATGCATATATTATCAGAGTATGTTTTTGTTTGCATTCAGACCACAAATATTGTGGTTATTGCAGACATGGTTCCTTGTAACAGGTTTTGAGTTTGGTGTTTTAACATCTTAACACCTGTTTTGTTGCCATATAAAAGGGGAAAACCTATTCTCATAATTATTACTGGCCAAGACTAATTCGAGAATCCATTGAAATTGAGAGAAATACAACCCATAGTGTGTGTGTAACCCATAGTGTGTGTGTAACCCATAGTGAGTGTGTCTCGGCAGTGCGTGCCAGTTGAGGAGCACGAAATTTTCCGCTCCTCCGCTGTCCACGTGACACCGCGCGAGGCCGAGTGTCCGAATGAGAACTTCATTCGGGCCGGAAGAATCCGATAAGCTATGAAGCTCTTTTCACGTCAGATGTCCGGTTGTCGGCGCCGGCGAGGGGCCCGCGATTCTCGTGCCCACCGCGACCAAATCACTCTTTTGATCGCAAACTAATCAACAGCATCGTCGTGGAAATACATTTATCTAACAGAGCGGAGGACAATGTTCTTCCCTTATCGCCGTCCCTGCCAACACGACAGCACGACTTGCACCGCCCGCCTGCGAGCGACTACATTCGGCGGTTTCAAGACGAGGAAACGCTGCACCGGTTGTTGACTCGCCGATGAGAGACTGCGAGAGAGCGAGGATTGAATCGTCAATGCTAGCGAGCTGCTGCCGATGGGGTTGGAGAGACGTCGCGGTACAATGGATCCTGCTGCATTGCTGCGACTGATGACAGTCGGTGTCCAAGCTGCCGTGCCAGAATCCGGCCTGTGGCCCAAATCACCCCGAAAGCCAAGCAGGGGCTGAGCCTGAACAGGATAGGAGTAGGCGGTGTCGAGGGCAATGCAGCAAAACCCATTGTGCACTCTCCCTGCCACACACCACCCATTCGACATTGATCGGCGTGGTGTGGACCACGTGGAGGTGTGAACCACGTGGAGGTGCGAAGGGGTGTGGGTGCGTGGTGTGGACCACGAGGTGTGTGCCGCGTGGTGGTGTAGACCACCGTCACGGCCCACTCTTGCACGACCATTCACACCAACACAAACCGCTGCTTACTGAATTTTTTTTAATAATCTGACATAAAATACATTTCTTTGCGAGAGAGAAAAACGAAAACTAAATTTACTTAAGTTCTAAAAAAAAAGTTTGTTACGCATGTACCAACAAAACAAAATACAAAAACGATAACGAGGGGAAGTCATGAACGACGGCCGAACACCGCGGAGCGGAGAGAGACATTTAGTGTTCACGAGACGGCGCCCGAGACGTTTCCAACCGGTCATTAACAGATTAAAAAATATAATAAAGTAAATCAGCTCGACCCTTTGCAGGTCATTTATGTTAGCGAGCACCTATTAAGGCCAGCAGTGGTGCCAGTAATAGACCGTTTACGCTCTTGTAGAGGAAATATCCCAGTCATTAAAAAAGGTGAATTGCGATGTCACCAACTCCCCCTTGCAGCGGTAAATTCCAAACTACCATTTGTCGGAGGTCCTGTGCAGCTCTCCGATGTGTGTTGGGTTGCGGTGCACCGACGTTTCGTGTACTTGAGCTTCTCCGGGTGAACCTAAATATTCGCTACAAAACCACGGACGGGGAGGAGAGCCATCGGACCGTGGAGGTCAGCACCCATGGAAGTGTTTGGGGTCTTTTTCTCCGGGGGGCACTCCCAGTCTGTCCTCTCACATGAAACCACTCGTTGGTGAATGGTCTTAAACCATCTCAAGGTTGCAAGGGCACTCTTAGAAATGTCTCAAGACTCTGTCAGGATTTCCAGAGTTAAATCAACTCTTCTCTTTTTTTCCACCGACAATGCCAAACAGGAATCGAACCATGATATGCTTGATATTTTTTTAAGGGCTTGCATCTTGAATCCTTGCCTCACTTGATGCAGCAAATCTGGCTGTGACGGTCCCACCTGATGACGGAGACTTGTGTTGCCTCCGAAACGTCATGATTTTATGGTTTTATTTTTATTAATTTGAATTTCATTTTTTATCTACGTGACTTTACCGAAAGAACTAAGAGTATGAATCCTTGCAGTCACGAAAGCTTCAAATCTAGAATTAATACATGATATGCTGGTTCGGGGGCCAAGCAGGGCCAGGGATGGGGGGGGGGGGGCTCACAACAAGTTAATTGCAGTGTGAGAAGACAACGCATCTATAAACTCCTTACGACAATGGATGTGCCACAAATGCACACAAACACTCACAAACGTGCCACTCTCTTGCTCGACTTCGATAGCTGCATAATTTTAGCTGCACTTGCGCCAGGGGGCCGTGCCGTCGTCGGCGAGCCCCAAAGGGAACATCGGAGCAGAGACCCCCCCCTGCTTCTAACAGCACCTTGACGACGTCGCCATTGTTAAGATCTCGACGAGCCACTCGAGTGGGGCCTCCTCGGGTTTACACCGCAGATCCTCAGTCCCTCTCGCTTCTGTTCATCTCCCCGCCACCCGCTACCCCCCACCCTCAACTGCCCCCCTCCCCCCCAGAGTTCCTAGCAAAATGAGCATTCGTCAGGCAGTGAAGGCAGCGGAGTGGATTGTCTGAGCGAAGCGCCACCTGCCCAAGGCCTTCAAGCGATGGGGGCCGTCGCCCTCCTCCATTGGGCTACGACGTTCGGTTGTCACCTATTTTCATTTTTTCTCCACGCGCGGGCAGGAACGTGGTTGCACGCACGCACGCGTAACTTATTTCGCACCGTACGTAGCCAACCGTGCTAATCGTCTGGAGACGCTTTAAACTGGGCACGGCAGTGGCCACCCTTGAGCCTTGAGCGGAGCCTCAACCGTTCGCCCCCCCCCCCCCCCTCGCAACGGCGTTCCCGCGAGAGCCAAACTCGACCCGGATTGAAATTTGCGTTCTGTAACTTGTCGACGCCGCCACCGCCGCCAGCCGCGCAAGCCTCCTTGACGGCCGCTCGAGCCTCGCGCCCGCGTGCGGCGAGTACAAGCATCGAGATGAGAACGCGTGGGTTCCTCCCCGGCGAGCGAACCGCACGGTAACGCGCTTCACACGGCGGCTCGCGCCCCGGTGGTAGCGGTCGGTGGTCGGCAGCCGTTTACCCCAAGCGCACGCGGAGAGCTTCGCACCGCGACCACTCCCGAGCGAGCGGCGACGCCGCTGACGATGCGAGCCTCTTGCGGCATCCCAACAACAACCAGCGAGAGGAGCGCTCGCCGGGGGCGGGCCGGCCATGCCGCAAGCCCCGTGTCCTCTCCCGAGTGTCGTCTGTCCCGTGTTTGAAGCGTCTCCCCAGTGTGCAGCATTTCTTTAGTTCCAAGTTAGCCTTTACTTATATTTTGCAGAAATGGCGAATGACCTATTCCTACAGGCACGCTTCTACGCGTGTAACGATGGCGCGAGTTTAATTCGACGGATCACGAGGGGCGTATCGTTTCGTGGCTTACTGGCGAGGGTTCGGGCATTGGAGTAATGCTAAAGGCGTTATGGATATGGTGAAGGGGGTGAGGGAAATATCCCTTAGAGGCAGCAGAATTTCACGCCGCATTAATCTCCATCAACGCCTTGGGGAATGGCGACCTGGGCTTAGTGGACAGGGTCGAGGTTACGACGACTGGAGGATTTCCACCACACCACCAACACCAACAACACCACCACCACTCCAGCCACGCCACTCGACCAGCCACAGCGAACGCAGCCCAGGTCAGAACGGGGCTTCCGCTGCGCGTCTCTATTGCTTTGCTTTGTTCTGTAAGCGACGATTCACCACCACGCTTCCAACAGGAAGCATTCTTTGACACCTTAAGGCACTTCGATAGGCCAGCCATGGACGATGGCACCATCCTCAGCGCACTGAGCGAGAGAAACATCTACGACTGCTGGTGATTAAAAAACTCTCACGACAAGGCAGCGCTGCCCCGTCGCAGCCACACGTTGAACCCCGAGGCTCCGTTGATGACACCGTAACCCGGTCACCAGATCGTCATCCCCCCCCCCGACCTCCCAAATCCCCCCCACCTCGCACGCAAACTCTACTTTGACCTCTGACCGCAGCGGGCGCGCGACGCCGCCGCCGTCACATGACGTCGACGAAGAACTCGCACGGGTTTCCCATGGCCATGTGGAACGACTGGCGGCTGCCCATCAACTCGGGCGGCACCGACCCCAAGTCCCGTACGGGGGGGGCGCCTGGCGGGGGGGGGCCGCCCCCTCCGATCGCGGAGGGGGGCCCCGAGCCCCCGCCCACACCGCCGGGCATCATCTGCGGCTGCTGCTGGTGCTGCTGGTGCAGCTGGTGCACGTGAACGGGGCCCGGCACGGCGATCATCCCGGGCGGCACCGCGTAGGGCGGAGGGATGCCCGGCGGGCCGTACGCGTGGTGGTAGAACGGGGGGGGCGGCGGGGGCGGCGGGGGCGGGGGGGGCGCCAGCGGGTGGTGGTGGTGGTGCTGGTGGTGCGAGGAGCCGGCGGCAGACGACCCGGCGGAGCTGCGGCGCGCCGAGTGCGCCGAGTGCGCCTCGCTGCCGGGGAAGGAGCGGACGCTGTCGGCGCGCTCGCGCCGCTGCGCCGTGCCGGCGCTGGACACGCCGCTGCGCGTGGACGCGCGGTCCGACTCGCTGCCGCTGCCGGCGCTCGAGCGGCCCTCGTTCGCGCCGCCGGCGGAACCGCTGCCGCCGATGCGGCGGTGGTCACGCTCCTTGCCCCCGCTGCGGTTTGAGCCGCTGCTGTGGCTTCCTGGTGGAGGAGAGGGCGGGAGAGAGAGGAGTAGGGGGGTGGGGAAAGTGGGGGGGTGGGGAGAGCGTGGGGGGGGGGGGGAGAGAGGGGGGGTGGGGAGAGAGGGGGGGTGGGGAGAGAATGGGGGGGGAGAAAGTGGGGGGGGGGAGAAAGTGGGGGGGGGGGGGCGAGAAAGGTGAGTGCTTGATATAATGTCCAGTTGGTGAGCATCTGGCTCATTTGTTTGAGCTGAAAGACTCCCAATTAAGGCCCTCATCCAGCAGCGGATGGACCACGGCCTCCCGTCCACACGGCAGTAGGGACTGGGCACAACCGGTGTTAGAGTGGGAATAATTGTTTGTGGAGGAATCGGATGAGCTACAAAGCTCTTCTTCACACACGTCCAGTAGGGGGTCAAGTCGACCGGCAGGTCACGCGCGGTGGGGTAAATTGTGGGTAACCCTACCTACCTCTCACAAGCCGTACACCGGCAAGCGTGGCCAAAGAGGGAGTGAGATATAGAGGGGCTCTCTCCCTCTCTATCTCCCTCCCTTTCTCTCTTCTCTCCCTCCCTCTTCTCTCGTGCCCCTTCCCACCAGTGGTGGAGCGAGCAAATCAATCGCCGCGGGCCGGCACCGCCGCCGACTCACCCTCGCTGTGCTGGCTGGGCGCGGTGGCCACGGCGTAGGCGTATCCGGTGACCTCGTGGTAGCCGGGCGGGTAGGGAGAGTAGGCGTGCGGGTGGGCGGGCACGGCCGGGGCCGGGTAGTGGTGGAACGCGGCGCCGTAAGGGTGGCTCAGCGTGGCCCAGGGACCGCCCGCCGCCAGCGGGAGCGGCGCCAGCGTGTCCTGGTCCGACGAGATGCTGGCGCAGTCGGGCTCCTGCAGGGTCAGCTTGCTGAGGTCTGATGGTGGAGGGGGGGGGGGAGACAATGGAGAGGGAGTCGACAGGGGCGGAATGACGCGGTGGCTAGGAGATGTTAACTACCTCGCCTGGTATGCAGGTCGTTAATTCGATCCCGACCCTGATGCCTGCTGTATATAATTGGAGTTTGCATATTCTCCCCGTGGTCGTGTGGATTTTTCTCCAGGTCCTCCGGTTTTTCCCTCCACATTTAGAAACATGCGTTTAAGAGTATTTGGCGAATATAAATTTGGACACTTCAAGCCACTTTGTTGAGCTATCATTTGTGGGCAGGTCGCTCCTAAAAAGAGCCACGCAGCTCGGTGGGTCTTACCTGGGAAAATAAAAATAGTTATGGCGAGAGCTGAAGTGTCAGGGTTTTGGGGTGTGGGTTTGGTTGGTGAGGATGTGCTGCATTCAGGGGGTTGGTGGGGGGGGTGCGGGGAGAGTCGGCAGTGAGCAATTAAAGATAAGCGGTGAGCGTCATCGGGCTAGAGAAGTACGTCTGTTGAACTTCTTTCGGAAGGTACGTCGCCAACCGCGCTAATCGGAGGTGCGGGGGAAGGACAACAAGCTAAACACAACAAGCAGTTCTAAAGAAATGAGCAGCGAGGTCACACAACAACAACCGCCGTTCACCACTAAGTGGCGGTGATGACACCACGGCGCTTGTGCCATGCTAGGTGCACTTTGAGGCCACGTGAAGTGTCGAAGGCCCACTGGCGGGAGGTCACGGTACGGACCCATGGGATTGAACGACTGTTGAGGCAAGTGCTGTTAGCGAGCACCTGTGAAGGCCGGAACGGCACACGAGAGTGTGGGTGGCCAGCACCACGCCCGGCTGCCTTTGTCTGCCTGGTGGCGAAGTTTTTTACACATCGCACCAGGTACTCATTTGAGGCCAAGTCGTAGGGGAGGCCCAGGACTAGTTCAGATAATCGCCACTGACGTTGGTGGCCATAAGCAGGAATTGAACTTGGGTCGCCGGATTCATAGCATAGCACACTAACCGCTGCACCACCGCTCCCACTACAACGCACACCACGTGCACACAAACACACACACTCGGCACCTGCGGTGAGGTCTCCAAAGATGTAGTAGCACTGCTCCGAGAAAGTGATCTTGTTGACCGTGTGCCGGATGAGGCCAGCCTGCAGCATGCGAGAGGCAAACTTCCTGGCGTCGCGCCGATCGGCAAAGCCCTCCACGTGGCTGAAGAGCCAGTCCACCACATCAGAGCCTGCATACCCGCACACGTCATCGTCATCATCACCAGCAGCCGTGGTCAATCCACCGCTGGGTTTACACGGTCCTAAAAAGTATCAATCCACCCGGCACACACGAGCTGATTTTATCACTCCATCCCCACAGTGGACGTCCTCTTGTGCCAGGGGTAGGTGCACTTTTGAAGTCACCTGAACTACCAAAAGCTCGCAGATGGAAGGTAAAGAGACTGAACCGTGTGTTATGGATTAACTGAGATGACTGGCAGATGCACCAGCTGTGCTCCCCACTTTCCCAATTTACTGCGTTTCAGCCGTCCGGGCACTCTGCTCGTTGTTGTGAGCGTCGCTCCTCCGCCCTCCACCGTTGCTGGATGGAGACTGCGTCCAATTGCCCAGTAGTGTCATTCACAAGCCTCGTCCACGGAGGCCGATCTTGACGCCGCTGGTACCGGTCATCGGCAAGTCCACTCGGCTCCACATCCTCCCGTACCACATCACTCCATCTCTTCTCTAGCCCGTGCCGCGTCCGTTTCGCCCCCTCTATCCGGCCAAACAGAAGCTGCTTGGGCACGTGGTGGTTGGGCAGTGTGGACCACGCGACCCGGCCCCTTCGACCCGGCCACGCGACCCGGCCACCCACACGCTGGCACTCACCGATGAAGGCGTTCTGGATTTTGATCTTGAGCCACATGCGGTCGCGCACCTCCAGGCCGGACTCGGGCGCCGACATGGCTTTGGTGATGGTCACCATGTCCGTGTGCACGCTCAGCTGGTACTCGTCATAGCCTGCCAGGAGGAGAGGGGATTGGCGGGCACGCAGGGTCACGGAGGGCTACTGGTCACTAGCAGAGCCTTCAACGGAGCGGGAGGTGGGGGGCGGTAACACGTTCATAATTTGTTGCAGAGGTTCACGGTTCGAATCCGGCAGGCCGCCCCTGGTTATTGCAGCGCTTGCGAGGGAACTGTGAAGTCCGACGCGCCGTTTGCTTGGCGGGGGCACGTTTAAACGTTTAAGATCCCCGTGACGCCGCCGGCAAGGGCCGGGATAACACACAGCAGCACGGCAGGCGAATGCCCACTCGCAGGCAAGTGCTGGTATCCTGCCACAAAGGGACAGCTGCCACCAAGGGTGCCCCCTTTGAATGTACAGTGATGAGGCGCTTTGAGTGGTCAACACATTTAAATGCTAAACAAAATTCCACAAACCCCATTACCACACCCATACCCAACCCACATTAAACCTGCGCCACTGTAAGCCCAACAGTAACCCCAGAGTGATGTGTAGTAGTCCCAGGGTGAGCCCCGTAGTGAGCCCAGAGTGATGTGTAGTAGTCCCAGGGTGGGCCCCGTAGTAAGCCCAGGGTAAGCCCTGTAGTGACCCTAGGGTGAGCCCCGTAGTAAGCCCAGGGTAAGCCCCGTAGTGAGCCTAGGGTGAGCCCCGTAGTAAGCCCAGAGTGATGTGTAGTAGTCTCATGGTGAGCCCCGTAGTAAGCCCAGGGTAAGCCCCGTAGTGAGCCTAGGGTGAGCCCCGTAGTAAGCCCAGAGTGATGTGTAGTAGTCTCATGGTGAGCCCCGTAGAAAGCCCAGGGTAAGCCCCGTAGTGAGCCCAGGGTGACCCGTGCAGTGAGCCCTGAGTGACCCGTGCAGTGACCCCAGGGTGAGAGCTGTAGTGACCTCTTGGGGACTCACGCTCGGACTCAGGCACAGAGGAGGTGAGCGAGGAGCTGCCGGAGGTCACGGTGCTCATCGAGTGGCTGGGCGGGTAGCGGGGGAACGTGCCCGTCATGGCCGCCGCCTGGGACACCCACACGGCCGGGTCGATGGGACGCACCGGCTCGTCTGGAAATGCGCACACACACACACACGCACATTAACATACACGCATGCAAGTACACACACGCACAATAACATATACGCATTCAAGTACACACACGCACAATAACATATACGCATGCAAGTACATACACGCGTGCGAGTATATACACATACACACGTGTACGTATGTGTACACACACACAAACATGTATAAAGAAAGACAAAGATCCCCCAGTTTAGCCTTAACAGACTGTTGGGGCAAGCACTGTCAGCGAGTAGTACCTATGAAGGCCGGCACTGCACTCGAAGGAGTAGGTGCCTTTGTCTCCCCAGCGGCAATGTTTACACACTCCGTCATGTACACATTTTAGGCCGAGTTGACCTAGGGGAGGCCCGTGACCGGTTCGGATAATGGCCACTGCTGTTGTTGGCCGCGAGCGGGAATCGAACTTACTCGGCCTGTGTGCGCGTGTCGACTCACTCGGTCTGTGTGTGCGTGTCGATTCACTCGGTCTGTGTGTGCGTGTCGACTTACTGCGTGGGATGGTGAAGTAGCTGCGGGGAGTTGGGTCCCAGCACTTGGCCACGGTGAGGCTGATGGGCCTGGCGACACCACGGGTTTGTCCGTTCAGACACAAACACACACAATTGTAAATGCACATGGCATGGGTAAGTGTGTGTGTGTGCGCGTGCGTGCGTGCATGGGGAGCGGTAGTGTAGCGGTTGGTGCGCTGCGCTACGAACCCAGCGACCCGAGTTCGATTCCCACTCATGGCCACCAACACCGGTGATGATTATCTGAACCGGTCCTGGGCCTCCCCTAGGTCGATTCAGCCTCAAATGAGTACCCGGTGCGGTGTGTAAACATCGCCATGAGGGAGACAAAGGCGGCCGGGCGTGGTGCTAGCCACCCACCCCCTCGTGTGCAGCAGTGCCTTACTTCATAGGTACTCGCTAACAGTAATTGCCCCTACAGTCTAGTAAGGCTACACGGGGGGAGCTGTCGTTTGTGGGCATGTGTACGACACAAGCATGTCCGTGCGGACGTACGCGTTTGTGAGTGGAGGACACGCACAAGCAACTCATTTGTTGTCCATCCTCCCCACACCTCCGATTAGCACGGCTGGCCAGGTACGGTGCGAAAGAAATTCAACATACGTACATAGTTTGTTCAATCAGTGATTTCCCGTCCATCGTGCCGACTTGGCAGTTCCAATGACCGCCGCTAGACTCACGAGCTAGCCGTGCACGCAGGAGGCATCGTCTGCGCCGTGTTCCGGGCCTCGTTTGGTGCCCCCACCAACTCTCTGAAGCTGTTCGGCCATCTCCTGCAGGTGGCCTGGCCCCACGCGGTTCTCCTGAACCCAGATGGAAGAGTCTCCGCTACTCGGGATCTCATCCCCTTAGCAGCCATATATGACCTGAGTCTACTGGCAGCAAGTATATGACCTGAGTCGACTGAGTGCATGGCTTGAGTCTACTGGCGATTACCGGTCTCATCTTGGCAGCCACCGCCGTCATGTGGTGGAGTGCTGCGGTGCCATGCTCGCGCACGCGCGTGTAACACGGCACACGCGTGTAAACGCCGTCACTCACCCGGGCTTGTGCACCACTTCCCGAAGCACACGGACCGCGTCGTCATTGCTCAGGTTTTCAAAGCTCACCTCGTTAACCTGCGCAGAGAGAAATGCATCATCGGCGTGAGCCAAGGACAACCCACCGCTGCGCGGCCAAAGGGCCCTAAGCGTTGCTTTTAAAAGGGCGGTGCAGTGAGGAGGATGATGAGGTCGCACGAGCCTGGTGGCGATTTATGAACGGGAATCCCGAGCGCCCGCATCGATCAGCACGTGGAGCGAGTGCCAATTTGGAATCGACGCAAATTGAGCGCAAACGTTGCCTGCGAGGCAACGGGGCGGAAGCGGGCAGTACGAACGTCGTTGACAAAACAAATGAGATGGGGCAGCAAAAAAAAATAACGACGCAGGCCGATCCGTGAGGTTTGTCACGTGAACAAAACGCGGCCTATGAGTTACTACTCCAGCACGCCAGTGTGTGGGAGAGTAAAGAATCATAATTTAAATGTGTAAACCGCCCTTAAGCAATCGTTCTCAGTAAACCCCCAACGTTTGCAATTCGAGTACGGACACAATCACATTTACGCGATCTAACCCGAAAAAAAAACTTTATTATGGACATTATTGGTGGCGAAAGCCTACCAACTACTCCTTCTACGACGTGTTAAATAGTTACATTTTATTTATCGTCGCCATCCCGGCCCGGCTAGCCATGGCAGACTCTGCCCACCCCACCTTTCCCCCAACCTCCCTCCGACCCCCCACCCCCCAGAGCACCTGCAGCAGCATGTCGCCGGGCTCAATGCGCCCGTCGGCTGCAACAGCGCCGCCTTTCATGATGGAGCCGATGTAGATTCCGCCGTCTCCACGCTCGTTGCTCTGCCCCACGATGCTGATGCCCAGGAAGTTGTACTTCTCTGCAAACGACACGAGGAGTGGGAGGGGGGGTTGGGTCCTTCGTTCACTGGTGGAGGGAGGGGATTCGTGCGACGTGACAAAGCAGTAGCAGTAGGAGCAGCAGCAGCAGTAGAAGCAGCAGTAGCAGCAGTAACTGCAGCAGTAGCAGCAGAAGCAGCTGTAGCAGAAGAAGCAGCAGATGCAGCAGAAGCAGTAGCAGCAGAAGCAGCAGGAGTAGCAGAAACAGCAGCAGCAGCCGCAGCAGAAGCAGCAGATGCAGCAGAAGCAGCAGAAGCAGCAGTAGTAGCAGAAACAGCAGTAGTATCAGCAGCAGCAGAAACAGCAGCAGCAGCAGCCGCAGCAGCAGCATATGCAGCTGCAGCAGCTCGTGGGCGGCAGGGTTCGTGGCGGCGGCGGCGCAGCGCCCACGCTGACGCCACGCAGCAACAAGCGGCCTGCGTTCGATTCCAGACTCGGGCGACTTTCTCCGCGGAGTTTGTATGTCTGTATGTCTGTATCTTAGTATGTTCTCCCCCTGTTCTGCAAGGAGTTTTCCTCCGGCTAAGTCCGATTGGCAAACACAAAACACAACGCGACTGGTAATAGACCAAAAACCTCGCGGTGCTGAAATAAAAAACCACTACCTGCAAACAACTCAAATGAGATCAGACAAATCAGCACTCCCCACCCCCCTCCTACTGCAGAAAGAAAACTTGGCAGCAAAAGAGGAATGAGACTCAGTGAGGCTCTCCTGGACAAAGTAACGTAGTAGTAGGAGTAATAATGACAAAATGCATCACATCCCAATCCCATTCCATTGCTCTGCTGCAGTCTCGTACCAAGGTGTACACATTTAGAAACGTGCACTGACACTATTTAGGATTATTGTGCTGCTATGTAAATGTCCAAATGATGAGCCACTTTTTGTTGAGCTTTTGTGATAGCCAGGTTGCTTCTGAAAAATACGTGAATACCTTCAGTGGGCTTTGCCACTTTTTTCAAATTTTCTTGCTGTGGTTTTCACACCTGATGATGATTGCTTGTGTTGCAATCGAAACGTTGTGAGAATTTTATTGTTTTATTTTTATTATTTTATTATTTCCCTTCTACGGGATGGGGATGGTTTAGTTTTATTTGGAAGTGTTTGGGCGATTTGTTTACCGTTCTTGTACTTTGCACTCCTATCGTATTTTTCTACTGTTTGTTGTTGTAACATTCTTACTCCGTGCCCTTAATGGACATCTGTAAAAAAGAGTTTGATAGCTTATTAGATTCCTCCTGCAGAATCAATATTCTGATAGCGAGAGTCCTGTCAGCAGGGGGCGATGTTTGCCATGCCAGTTTTTTTAACCAAATTCCGTAACTCGCGAGCACATTTATGGGATTTGGCAAAAAATGTGTACCGTGGCGACTCACGAGGCCTACGGCCCTTAATCGAATAACCTCCACTCTGAAGCAGCCAAGGCGTTTGTTAATCATGAATCCCGCAGTGTTAACCGGGCCAGCCACTGGCTTGAACCCACAAGCAGCGTACGTGCCACAAAGGGTGGCTTCATGGCTCGACTTGAGAACCCCGTTTTGCCACGGGCAGCGGCTAAGACGCCAGACTGGAACCGCCCCCCCACCCGTCCACCCCCCCACCCTATACCCCACCACCCGGGGAGTCTGGGTCACTTGTCGCGTCCTCCCTCTCTGCCAACGCACCCATGTTGAGCGTCACGGTGATGATGTTGAGCGACATGGTGGAGTCCGTGATGCTGCTGAACGAAGAAGCCTGGGGAAACAGATGCACGGCGGCACGGGGGGAGGGGGGGGCACAAGTCGGTAAATGTAAGAAGCGAGGGCAGCCCTAGACTCAAACACTGCATTAGTGTTTAACCAAGACTCAGACACAGCCCTAGCCCAGACTCAAACAGAGCCCTAGCCCAGACTCAGCCCTAGCCCAGACTCAGACACAGCCATAGCCCAGACTCAGACACTGCCTGTCCTAGCCCAGACTCAGACACTGCCTGCCCTAGCCCAGATTCAGACAGAGCCGTAGCCACTGCCCTACACTTAACCCTGGACTCAAGACACAGCCCTAACCCAGACAGAGCCGTAGTCTTAACTCGCGTTGAAATTTATCAAACCATGGAATAGCAATGAGACAAAGAGTTTTCTCATGGAACATGAAATGTCATGGAACATGAAATGGAGTCGTTGGATGTGAAATGGAGTCATGGGATACATGAAATGAAGTCATGGGATACGTAAAATGGAGTAATGGGATACATGAAATGGAGTTGTGGGATACATGAAATGGAGTCATGGGATGCATAAAATGGAGTCGTTGGACATGAAATGGAGTCATGAGAAACATGAAATGGAGCCGTGAAACACATGAAATTGAGTCATTTGACACGTGAAATGTTGTTGTGGGATACATGAAATGGAGTCATGGGACACATGGAATGGGGTTATGGGATGCATAAAATGGAGTGGTTGGACGTGATATGGAGTCATTGGCCACATGAAATGAAGTCACGGGACACGTGAAATGAAGTCATGCGATATATGAACTGGAGTCATGGAACATGAAATGGAGTCGTGGGGCATGAAATGGAGTCATGGAATACATGAAATGGAGTCATGGAATACATGAAATGGAGTCATGGGATACATGAAATGGAGTCGTGGGACATAAAATGGAGTCATGGGATACATGAAATTGAGCCGTGGGACATGAACTGGAGTCATGGGATATGACATGGAGTCATGGGACACATGAAATGGAGTCTTGGGATATGTAAAATGGAGTCATGGGATACATGAAATTAAGTCATGGGAAACATGAATTGGAGTCATGCGACACATGAAATGGAGTCATGGGATATATGAACTGGAATTATGAGGGAGAAATGGAGTCGTGGGACATGAAATGGAGTCGAAGGACATGAAATGGATTCATGGGACACTTGAAATGGAGTCATGGGACACATGAAATGGAATCGAAGGACATGAAATGGAGTCATGGGACATGAAATGGAGCAGTGAAATACATGAAATGGAGTAATTTGACACGTGAATTGTTGCCGTGGGATTCATAAAATAGTCATTGGATACATGAAATAGAGTCGTTGGACGTGAAATGGAGTCATGGGATACATGAACTGGAGTCATGGAACATGAAATGGAGTCGTTGGACATGAAATGGAGTCATGGGATACGTAAAATGGAGTCATGGGATACATGAAATACATGAAATGGAGTCATGGATGCACAAAATGGAGTCGTAGGACATGAACTGGAGTCATGGGACACCTGACATGGAGTCGTGGTATATGAAATAGAGTAACGGTACACATGAAATGAAGTCATGAAGTACATGAACTGGAGTCGTGGGACGTGAAATGGAGTTGTGGGATACATGAAATGGAGTCATGGGATACATGAAATGGAGTCGTGGGGTATGAAATGGAGTTGTGGGACACATGAAATTGAGTTGTGGGATACATAAAATGGAGTCGTGGGATACATGAAATGGAGCAGTGAAACACATGAAATGGAGTGATTTGACACGTGAATTGTTGTCGTGGGATTCATGAAATGGAGTCATTGGATACATGAAATGGAGTCGTTGGACGTGAAATGGAGTCATGAAAACATAAATGGAGTTGTTGGATACATGAAATGGAGTCATGGGACAAATGAAATGGAGTCATAGAATACATGAAATGGAGTCATGGGGCATAAAATGGAGTCGTTGGACATGAAATGGAGTCATGGGATACATGAAATGGAGTAGTGGGATACATAAAATGGAGTCGTTGGACGTGAAATGGAGTCGTGGGACACATGAAATGGAGTCATAGGACACATAAAATGGAATTATGGGATACATAAAATGGAGTCGTTGGACGTGAAATGGAGTTGTGGGAGACATGAAATGGAGTCATGGGATACGTAAAATGGAGTCGTTGGACGTGAAATTGAGTAATGGGACACATGAAATGGAGTCATGGGATACATGAAATGAAGTCATGGGCCACATGAAATGGAATCATGGGACACATGAAATGGAGTCATGCGATACATGAACTGGAGTCATGGAACATGAAATGGAGTCGTTGGGCATTAAATGGCGTTGTTGGACGTGAAATGGAGTCATGGAATACATAAAATGGAGACGTTGGACGTGAAATGGAGTCACGGGATACATGAAATGGAGTCATGGGATACATGAAATAGAGTCGTGGGAAACATGAAATGGAGCCGTGAAACACATGAAATGAAGTCATTTGACACGTGAAATGTTGTCGTGGGATACATGAAATGGAGCCATGGGACACATGAACTGGAGTTATGGGACATTAAATGGAGTCGTGGGACATAAAATGGAGTCCTGGGATACGTAAAATAGAGTCTTGGGACACATGAAATGGAGTGGTGGTACATGAAATAGAGTCACGGTACACATGAAATGGAGTCATGAGGTACATGAACTGGAGTCGTGGGACATGAACTGGAGTTGTGGGATACATGAAATGGAGCCGTGGGGTATGAAATGGAGTTGTGGGACACATGAAATGGAGTTGTGGGATACATAAAATGGAGTCGTGGGATACATTAAATGGAGCAGTGAAACACATGAAATGGAGTGATTTGACACGTGAATTGTTGTCGTGGGTTTCATGAAATGGAGTCATTGGATACATGAAATGGAGTCGTTGGACGTGAAATGGAGCCATGAAAACATAAATGGAGTCGTTGGATACATGAAATGGAGTCATGGGACACATGAAATGGAGTCATGGGATACATGAAATGGAGTAATGGGGCATAAAATGGAGTCGTTGGACATGAAATGGAGTCATAGGACACATAAAATGGAGTCATGGGATACATAAAATGGAGTCGTTGGACGTGAAATGGAGTCGTGGGATACATGAAATGGAGTCGTGGGACATGAAATGGAGTCACGGAACACATGAAATGGAGTCATGAGGTACATGAACTGGAGTCGTGGGACGTGAAATGGAGTTGTGGGATACATGAAACGGAGTAGTGAAACACATGAAATGGAGTAATTTGACAAGTGAAATGGAGTCATGGGAAACATGAAATGAAGTCATGGGATTCGTGAAATGGAATCATGGGATTCATGAAATGGAGTTGTGGGATACATAAAATGGGAGTCATGGGATACATGAATTGGAGTCATGGGATATATAAAATGGAGTCAATGGATGTGAAATGGACTCATGGGATTCATGAAATGGAGTTGTGGGATACATGAAATGGAGTCATGGGATACATGAAATGGAGTCATGGGACATGAAATGGAGTTGGACGTGAAATGGAGTCATGGGATACATGAAATGGGGTTATGGGATGCATAAAATGGAGTGGTTGGACGTGAAATTTAGTCATGGGATACATGAAATGGAGTCATGGGACACGTGAAATGGAGTCGTGGGGCATGAAATGGAGTAATTTGACAAGTGAAATGTTGTCATGGGATTCATGAATTGGAGTCATGGGATATATGAAATGGGAGTCGTGGGGCATGTAATGGAGTCATGGAATCCATGAAATTGGGTTATGGGATGCATAAAATGGAGTGGTTGGACGTGAAATTGAGTCGTGGAATACATAAAATGGAGCCATGGGATGCATAAAATGGACTCATGGGATACATGAAATGGAGTCATGGGACATGAAATGGAGTCATGGGACACGTGAAATGGAGTCGTAGGATACATGAAATGGAGTCGTGGGGCATGAAATGGTGTAATTTGACAAGTGAAATGTTGTCATGGGATTCATGAATTGGAGTCGTGGGATACATAAAATTGAGTCATGGGGTACATGAAATGGGAGTCGTGGGACATGTAATGGAGTCATGGAATCCATTAAATTGGGTTATGGGATGCATAAAATGGAGTGGTTGGACGTGAAATTGAGTCGTGGGATACATAAAATGGAGCCATGGGATACACAAAATGGAGTTATGGGATACATAAAATGGAGTCGTGGGATACATAAAATTGAGTCGTTGGACGTGAAATTGAGTCGTTGGATGCATAAAATGAAGTCATGGGACACATGAAATGTAGTCGTGGGATACATAAAATGGAGTCATTGGACATAAAATGGAGTCATGGGATACATAAAATGTAGTCGTGGGATGCATAAAATGGAGTGGTGGGACACATGAAATGGAGTCATGGGACACATGAAATGGAGTCGTTGGACATGAAATGGAGTCATGGGACACATGAAATGGAGTCATGGGACACATGAAATGGAGTCATGGGATACATAAAATGTAGTCGTGGGATGCATAAAATGGAGTGGTGGGACACATGAAATGGAGTCATGGGACACATGAAATGGAGTCGTTGGACATGAAATGGAGTCATGGGATACATCAAATGGAGTAGTTGGATGTGAAATGGAGTCGTGCGACATGTGAAATGGAGCCATGGGACACATACAATGGAGTCATGGGACACATGAAATTGAGTCATGGGACACATGAAATGGAGTCATGGGATACATGAAATGGAGTCAAGGGATACATGAAATGGAGTCATGCGACACGTGAAATGGAGTAATTTGACAAGTGAAATGGAGTCATGGGATACATGAAATGGAGTCATGGAATATGTGAAATGGGGTTATGGGATGCATAAAATGGACTCATGGGACACATGAAATGGAGTCATGGGATACATGAAATGGAGTCGTTGGACATAAAATGGAGTCATGGGATGCATAAAATGGAGTCAAGGGACACATGAAATTGAGTCATGGGACACGTGAAATGGAGTCATGGGATACATGAAATGGAGTCATGGGATACATAAAATGGAGTCATGGGATACATGAAATGGAGTCATGGGACACATAAAATGGAGTCATGGGATACATGAAATGGAGTCATGGGATATATAAAATGGAGTCGTTGGACGTGAAATGGTGTCATGGGATTCATGAAATGGAGTTGTGGGATACATAAAATGGTGTCATGCGATATATAAAATGGAGTCGTGGGACGTGAAATGGAGTTGTGGGATACATAAAATGGAGTCATGGGATACATGAAATGGAGTCATGGGATACATGAAATGGAGTCATGGGACATGAAATGGAGTTGGACGTGACATGGAGTCATGGGATACATGAAATGGAGTCATGGAATTCATGAAATGAATGGGGTTATGGGATGCATAAAATGGAGTGGTTGGACGTGAAATGTAGTCATGGGATACATGAAATGGAGTCATGGGATACATAAAATGGTGTCATGGGATACATAAAATGGAGTCATGGGACACGTGAAATGGAGTCGTAGGATACATTAAATGGAGTCGTGGGGCATGAAATGGAGTCATTTGACAAGTGAAATGTTGTCATGGGATTCATGAATTGGAGTCATGGGATACATGAAATTGGGTTATGGGATGCATAAAATGGAGTGGTTGGACGTGAAATTGAGTCGTGGAATACATAAAATGGAGCCATGGGATGCATAAAATGGACTCATGGGACACATGAAATTGAGTCATGGGACACATGAAATGGAGTCATGGGATACATGAAATGGAGTCTTTGGACATAAAATGGAGTCATGGGATGCATAAAATGGAGTCAAGGGACACATGAAATTGAGTCATGGGACACATGAAATGGAGTCATGGGATACATGAAATGGAGTCATGGGATACATAAAATGGAGTCATGGGATACATGAAATGGAGTCATGGGACACATAAAATGGAGTCATGGGATACATAAAATGGAGTCATGGGATACATGAAATGGAGTAATTTGACAAGTGAAATGGAGTCATGGGATACATGAAATGGAGTCATGGAATACGTGAAATGGGGTTATGGGATGCATAAAATGGAGTCGTTGGACATGAAATGGAGTCATGGGATACATGAAATGGAGTCATGGGACACGTGAAATGGAGTCGTAGGATACATGAAATGGAGTCGTGGGGCATGGAATGGTGTAATTTGACAATTGAAATGTTGTCATGGGATTCATGAATTGGAGTCATGGGATACATAAAATGGAGTCATGGGACATGAAATGGAGTCATGGGACATGAAATGGAGTCATGGGACACGTGAAATGGAGTCGTAGGATACATTAAATGGAGTCGTGGGGCATGAAATGGTGTGATTTGACAAGTGAAATGTTGTCATGGGATTCATGAATTGGAGTCGTGGGATACATAAAATTGAGTCATGGGGTACATGAAATGGGAGTCGTGGGACATGTAATGGAGTCATGGAATCCATTAAATTGGGTTATGGGATGCATAAAATGGAGTGGTTGGACGTGAAATTGAGTCGTGGGATACATAAAATGGAGCCATGGGATACACAAAATGGAGTTATGGGATACATAAAATGGAGTCGTGGGATACATAAAATTGAGTCGTTGGACGTGAAATTGAGTCGTTGGATGCATAAAATGAAGTCATGGGACACATGAAATGTAGTCGTGGGATACATAAAATGGAGTCATTGGACATAAAATGGAGTCATGGGATACATAAAATGTAGTCGTGGGATGCATAAAATGGAGTGGTGGGACACATGAAATGGAGTCATGGGACACATGAAATGGAGTCGTTGGACATGAAATGGAGTCATGGGACACATGAAATGGAGTCATGGGATACATAAAATGGAGTAGTTGGATGTGAAATGGAGTCGTGCGACATGTGAAATGGAGCCATGGGACACATACAATGGAGTCATAGGACACATGAAATGGAGTCGTTGGACATGAAATGGAGTCATGGGACATATGAAATGGAGTCATGGGATACATAAAATGGAGTCGTTAGATGTGAAATGGAGTCATGCGACACGTGAAATGGAGTCATGGGATACATAAAATGGAGTCGTAGGATACATGAAACGGAGTAGTGAAACACATGAAATGGAGTAATTTGACAAGTGAAATGTTGTCATGGGATTCATGAAATGGAGTCATAGGACACATGAAATGGAGTCATGGGATACATGAACTAGAGTCATTGGACATGAAAAGGAGTCGTTGAATACATGAAATAGAGTTGTGGGATACATTAAATTGAGTCAATGGACACATGAAATGAAGTCGTGGGACATGAAATGGAGTCATGGGAAATGGAATGGAGTCGTGGGACATGGAATGGAGCCGTGGGATGCATGAAATGGAGTCATGGGACACAAGAAATGAAACCGTGTGATATGAAATCGCAGTTGGCTTGTGTCCTGCATGCCACGCGTTTTTCCGCCAGGCCTGGTCGAAGCCCGGCCGAGACGCGGGAGAGAGCAACCCACCCGATCCATCTCCTGCATGCGGTGCTTCCTCCGCCGGCGGCGGTGGCGCTTGAGAAGCCGCGAGGAGCCCGTCTGCTCGGTGGACGTGCTGAACCTAGATGGAGCACGCACACAGGCGCGGGCCGGCGGTTACACGGGGACAGCAGAAGCAGCAGTCATCACGATGGGAGCAGGGTGGCGAGCAGGGTGGCAATCAGGCAAGAGCCGCGGCTACTGGACAGTCATCTAGATAGATGGCTGCAGTTACGTGCTATGAACGAGGGACAAAGCCCGAAACGTTGCCTGTTACATATATTTCCTTTGAAGGCCACGGTGTCATTGACGAATGCGCCGAGTTCTAAAAATATTCATGATAAATATATATACACGTGGCATATATCTCTTGGTTTGACACACAGCTCAGAGACGGGGAGATTAATGAAGGAAATGGAACAAGTGCTGAACGGCTCACGAAGAAGGACGAAGAGAGGTCCGCTCGGAACGACTCTGAGAATGAGAGAGAGTGAACGCGTGGATTGCGCAGCAGGTCGATTACATACGTTTAACTCAAGCAGCGTTGAGGGTCGCTGCGATAGCTAGGAGATGTTAACTACCTCGCCTGGAGCCTTATCTGGTAAAATGAACAAGAATAGTTTCGTTTTTATAGTTTATAGTTTTTAGTGGCCTGCAAGGGTTGAGGCCCGATGGAGGAGATTAGCGGTAAGAGTGGCAGTTGAGCAAAGGATGTCGGCCGTGGAAACTGAGAGATAAAATCGGCTCGCGTGTAGGTGCTGGGTGGATTGTCGCTTCGCGGGATCGTGAGAGATATTCGACATTTTGGGGAGAGGCCTTCATCCAGCAGTGGATTGATAACAGTTGATGGCGATTATTAACTTGTTGGAGGCCCAAAACTTCAAGTAGCCAGCAACAAACTATTTTTTTTATGTTTTATTTTACCAGGTAAGGGCCACTGAGCTGTGGAGCTCTTTTTCAGAAGTGACCTGGCTATCAAAAATGACAGCCCAACGAAGTGGCTCATCACATGGAAATGTATAGCAGCCAAATACTCTAAATGCGTGACGTTCTAAATGCGGACGTGAAAACCGGGGGAACCGGAGAAATATCCTCGCGACCACGGGGAGACATGCAAACACCAAATATACAGCAGGCATCAGGATCGGGGATCGAACCCACGACTTCCATACCAGGCGAGGGAGTTAACATCTCACCACCGTGGCAGAAAACAGCACCACCCACGTTGTATTGGATAAAAGATTGCAAAAAAGGACGGCGGGAGTAAATTCTTCAGTGGAACCGAAGACATCCGGCAGAGTTGACGAACAACAGCGATTGGCCGGCCGAGCAAAACGCACGCCAACGTCGGCCCAACGTTGTGGTGCGTGTGTGCATGCGTGCTGGGGCGAGCGGGGCCCCTCCCGGGCGTCGCTCACCGGCTGGCGTTGTCGTCGTCCTCGTCCTCCTCCGAGTCGAAAGCGCTCGTCTCCTCCAGCTCGCTGCTCACCACGCTCGACGCGTCGTACGCGTGCTGGTGAGGCGCCGCTGGCGCCGCGTGGTGGTGGTGGTGGTGGGGAGCCGCCACTGCATGGTGAGGGGGGGCGTGGTGAGGGTGCTGCGGCGCGTGCAGCGGCCGGCCTGGCACGGGCTTCACCAGCCCATTTGGCCTCGGTCCTGTGGCGAAAACATCAACAACGTCATCGATGACAATGTCAAAGATGACGACGATAATCCTGGTTGTTTTAAGTTAGGCCACGATGATCTGGCATTAATTTGTGTTGTAAAGGCCCTCCACCACCCGACACGGCCAAACATCGGAGGGTCTCAATGACACGGATTGTTTCCAAATCGTTACGTGGCCTAACCAAAAGATCTCTTGCAATATTGGCTGCGGGTGTGCGTTATCTTAAAACCTGTTTTCGTTTTCTCCAGATTTTCATCCCAATTGTGCAATCAGCTTCGCGTCGGATCCATTCAGAAAACTCGCAGAGCACCACGACCCCCCCCCCCCCCCCCCCAATTCGTGTTCAGGCCACGGAAGCGGATATCGCAGAGCTACCTTAAAAGTGCAGTGCAGCGAAACCCCCCCCCCCACCTCCGCTGTTTTGTGCTTGTACATTTCTGCGTCTACGCCCCCCCGCCTTCACCAACCCGGACAAAGACAGAGATACGGACGGGCGGACGGGCGGACGGAGCTAATGCAGCAACGCTGTCACCCTGAGCAGGAAAGGCGCCGCGATCCGACGCTGCCGCTAATCCTGCGCCTGCTGCGGCGTCCCACGAGGCCGCTCTGAGCCTGCAGGCGCACGCGGGCCAGAGCGGCACGGTGGGGGCGGGGGGTTGGTGGAGCAGCTGTTGAGCGTGACCGCCAGCGTGACCCCGCCCGAGTGACCCCCAGTGACGGGGAGGAGGAGGGTGGCGGTGGGCGGCGGCTGCTCATGTCGGAGCATCCTCCAACGATCCGTCCGTCCATCCCTGCTCGGAATAATCCGGCAGTTCTGAATGAATGCAGTGGTGTCGGTGACGTGGTGGGGGGGGTGGGCGGGAATTGGCAGGACGGCTCGAGATGCGAGATTCACGCGCACCTGTGTGCTCATGCCGAGGATCCCGGTCTCTCCGCGACCGTCTCTCGCTCCGTGCCGACAGCACCGACTCCGTGTCTGTGGCCTGGTCCAGGCTTTCCTGGCTGCCGGCGGGGTTGGGGCTGAGACATGCAAACAAGAACAACTGAGATGTGCCGTGTACCCCTTTAACGGGCTGTTGGGTGTTGGTGAGCGCCTGTGAAAGCTGGCACGGAACGCAGGAGGGTGGTGTGGCCAGCACCACAAGAGATTTTGGCGACGATGATGATGACGATAATAATCATGGTGAAGATGACAATAATGATGAAGTTGAGAGGTACGGTGGATGTGGTGTGCTGGGTGCAGAAACGTTTAAAAGGGTCGATAGTAGACCGGAGTAAGTGGCATGTGACGAGCATCCACAGCTCAATGCAAAGGTATACTGGATGTGGTGTGCCGAGTGTGTAAATATGTCACAGACATGAACAGACCTGGCTGAAATTAAGCTCTCGTCTCACAGAAACACCCACTGGCTGACACAGAGACCCACAGACACCCATAAAAGACTTACATAAACTCACACAAGAGACACGATCTTATAGAGCCCCCGTAGACTCACGAAGAGATGCAGTCTCACGCATAGGCTTAATTCAGTCGCTGAATACAGATTAATATTTTCTGGGTTGCTGGTATAGCCTGGGGCGGTGGTTCTCAACCTTATTTGGCTACTGCTGCACTTCCCCTCGTTGAATTTTAATTCAAACGAGTAACCCCCTTGGCCTGACCCAACATGGTCCTGAGAAAATAAATGTACAAATAATGAACATCAACATTTTGTCCATCTTGAGAGATATCATCCTAACAAGTTAGTAACTGCAAGCGAATAAAAAGAATGTCAACGGACGCTCTGCGTGCGTGATGTCATTTGCCAGCGCTCGCTGGTTGCTCTTGGAAACCAACATTGCTTACGATCAATGAGTTTAGAAAGGTCTTCTATATCATTCTAGGTTGCCAAATGGATTAAAAATATTATCGTAGTTAGATTAATACGCGATCGCTCACCAATGCCTTTCACGTACAATATAATTTCGCAGGTTTATAAATCACCTCGCGTAACACACACACCCCCCTGGTTGAGAAACCACCGGTCTAGACTACGTGAGCGGAATGATTAAGCTCCTCAGCCTAACAGCGAGAGTGTATAGTGGACACGGTGTCCCAGGTGGGGGTCTTACTGGAAGGAGGGCGGCCGCGAGTCTCCTATACCGCCTGTCCGCTCCAGCGGCGGGGGCAGCTCCGCCTTGGGCTCCGAGCACTGCGAGCCGGTCTCCGAGGGGTCGGCGGCCACCAGCTGATGAGCACAAGGCAAAGGCGACGCACAAGCAGTTCATTCACGAGGTTTGACGATTTTAAAACAAACAAAAAAACTACACAATTTTTTTTACTGACCTATTATGTAGCGAACCTGGCTATCACAAATCATAGCTCAACGAAGTGGCTCACGTGGACATTTATAGCAGCCAAATACTCTTAAACACGTGACGTTGATTCTAAATGTGGAGGGAAAAACCAGAGGACCCGGAGAAGAATCGACGCAACCACGGGGAGAACATGCAGAATTCAAATAAACAGCAGCAGGCGTCAGGGTTGGGATCGAACCCACGACGCTGGTATACCAGGCGAGGTAGTTAACAAAAAAAACACGAGGTGCAATCATTGCGCGTACGCCTGGACGCATCTGCCCTCTTATGAGCATTAATAATAGTGGCTTATCGTCACGTGGAAATTTAAAGCAGCCAAATAATCTAAACGCGTGATGTTGATTCTAAATGTGGAGGGAAAAAAACCAGAGGACCCAGAGTAAAATCCACGTGACCACGGGGAAAGAGACACAGCAAACTCCAAATAAACAGCAGGCAGTAGGTTCGGGATCGAACCCACGACCTCCTGTATACAAGGCAAGGTAGTTAACAAACACGAGGTGCAATCATCGCGTGTAAGCCTGGACATTGTTATGCTTTCCAACCACGTGTTTGCCCTCTCATGAGCATTAATAACAACATTGATATTCCAACTCAAAAAATGCTTTTACATCGCACCTCCAACATTCCAAGGGCACCCCCCAGTGGCAGCTGTCCCCGTGCGGCACGAGGTACAGAGCACCTGGCCTGCAAGTGGCCATTGGTCTGCCAGGAGTGAGGGAGAGAGGCGATTGCTGTTGTGTGTGATCCAAATCGAGGGGATTTGCTGGGTTTTTTTTACATTTCTTCCAAACTTGGACCGCGGAACGCCGGCAAATGCAGTGATTTGACGGTCACAGGACCAACGCGACGTCCACTACGAAGCAGACGGCCCGTAGTATTTTATGGTGAATACCGCCGCCCCCCCCCCCCCCAGGTGCGTGACGTCATTTATGGACGGCCCCCTAGGCGCACAACGGCGCCAGATGGCGTTCCAGAATCGGCTTGTCATGTTCGGCGATTCCACTGGGATAGCAATTCGGGCTACGAATTAGTTGTGTTGTTTAAAAAAAGAAATAGAAATAACGGCCTTTTGTTAAGAAGAGGGATATTCCGGGGATAACGTGCCGCTGAATTAAAATCTGGCAACTCGAGGGCTCCCCGTGGAAATATCGCCGCACGCGTCCTCATTATGCGTTGGCGCAGAGCATCCCGTGGTAGCCGGTTATGCATCGCCGCGTGTTCGAGTCCACCGGGCCTACCTCACGGCACCACCCTCAATATTCTCCACGGCAAGCATCTGTTCCAGAAAACACACTACCCGAGCGGATTCCATCTTTCTGGGCCTCATCGGCAGAGTCGAAGCAACGGACAAAACGTCGGGGGGGGGGGGGCAGTAGAAGCTGCTGGGATACGAGAAAAAAAAGTTCAACTCACACATTACATACGTACATTATGAGCTGCAGGGCTGAGCAGCAACTCATTAAACATTGGGAGCAGGCGGTGGGGGGTAAATCCAGCGCCCACCTCCACATGCCATGACAATTTGCTTAATTATTCAGAGCTGCAATTACAAACTGAACAAATCCCTTTGTGCGATGTAGTCTTGTTTGCATTGTTACTAATCAACTAATTAATCTGCGCATTGTCACAGCTACGTGTAAACAGGAAGGAGGGGAGGCTTGGTCTCGTCCCCCCCCCATCCCATCAACACGATAACAACGGACTCAGAGGGGCTCTCATCCGTGTCGCGAGCCTTTCGCGACGAGCTGGGAGGGAGGGGTTTCGACGGGTCGCCTGCAGTCGGTGCGGCTTGGCCGCTCCAAGGTGCACCCCTTCGGAAGGGATTGAGATAGGGGAGAGAGATGTAATCGGAAGAGAGATACGGGAAGTGACAGCAAGGGAGGTGCACGTTCTCATCCTCGCAGCGGCGGCTTTCGGGTGGTCATCGTACAAAGACGGTGGTCACCGCAGCGCGCGCCTTAAGATTCGCTTCTGCGGCCGTCTGAAACGCCACTCGCTCTTTCTTCCGATACAAGGCAGCCACTGGGATCGATGCACTTTTAAGTGTAGATTGAAGAGTAATTTCTTTACAACCGCTTTTTGCTTTTAGTTTGCTGTCCTTATTCGGCACCTCCGAGGAGCACGGTTGGCTAACGTACGGCGCAAAAGAAGTTCAACATACGCACACACGTTCAGAATTGTGGCGGGAGAGACGTGCAGCAGGGGACACCTAATCACCGCCACGCTGTGTGTGTGTATATCAGAGGAGACTGGGGGGGCGGGAGGTCACGGGACAGTCCCAGGTGCTACGGGTTCTCAGGGGAGGGAAGCCGCTAATGGCAACAGCTGCCTTCTTCTGCACACAACGCCGGCCGCACGGCCCCCCCCCCCCCGTACAAACACTTGCCGCCACGTCGCCCCCCCCCCCCCGTACAAACACTTGCCCCCCCCCCGTATAAACACTTGCCACCGCGTCGCCCCCCCACCGAGCCGCAGCGCCGGTTAGCGAACAGCTGTTTAAGGCCGGCATGTCGCACATGCGCAACAACGGAGGAAGGGGGGGGCGTGGAGGCAGTGTGGCCTTGCAACTATCTTTACATCATTCAGCTGCACACACGAATCTAAACTAATACACTTTTAATTATTTTACCAGGCAAGGCCCCACCAAGCTATACAGGTGTTTTTCAGAAGTGACCTTGGCCACAATTAAGTGGCTTATCACGTGGAAATATATAGCAGCCAAATAATTTAAATGTGTATTTATAGATGTGGAGGGAAAAACCGGAGGACCTGGAGAAAAATCCACGCGACCACGGAGAGAACATGCAGGCGTCAGGGTCGGGATCAAACCAGTGACCTCCTGTATACCTGGCGAGGGAGTTAACATCTCTCCACTGCTAGATTTTAACTTGACCGGGAAACGTGAAAGTGTCATGATTCCTGGACAAGATTCCATACGAGAACGACGATGATGTTGATGATAATAATAAAATCAGTTTTATAAAGCGCCTTTCAAACTGGTAATCTCAAAGCACTATACATTCGAGGTATAACTTGAAAAAAACACTGACCACACCAGTAAAACCCCAATCACAAGACAATAAAACCCAAATATACAAATATCCAACAGATTATCGGTGGATGCCAGGGAAGCTACTTATAAAACCCAGTTAGAAATGTCACGTTGCAATCGAGTTGAGTAAATCGTGCACGGCAGTAGAAGAGTAGGCCCAATACCAGCGTAGAAGAGCGCCCCTCTCTCATGGAGGTCCTATGCCAGCAGTGTCACTCCTCGAGCAAAACACTGCAGGGCTGCACCTTTACCTTTATCCATAATTAGCACATGGAGGTGTTGGTAATTGCGTTAAACCCGGTTATCACAGCTCCGTCATTACCTTGGGGCGACTCGTTGGGTGCCCTTGAGCGTCATAACCGTGTGAGCCGTGCCCGCTGCGCTTCGATCTGTCCTGGCAGTGACCGTGAACGAGGACACTGGGGTAGTTGCTCATCAATACACGATGGAATAAAGTTTCGGTAGTAACTCCCGCGTTGTTTTCCTCGCTTCCACTTGCGCGATCCTCCCTTCGTCGTCTATTGCGACGCGACTCGCTCCCAACACCAGCCAACGCGCGCACGCACGCACACAAGGACTTTCTGAGGGGGTGACGAGATTCCACAACAGCATCCGTTTATCTGTACACCTCTATGTACACGGTGAGCATAAGAATCAAATCTGGCTGTCGCCTGATGAAGCTGGTTGTAATTACTGGTGAAACATCGTACTCAGATTGTAAATGTTGTGGCTTTACTCTCCAACACACCGGTCTGCTGTACTAGTGACGAATTGGCACGTTCCGTTTACGTGACAAACCTTACTAATTGGCTGTGTTGGGTGGTGGTGGGTTTAACGACACATTTATATAATTACGCGATCTAACCGAAAAAACCTGTATTATATAAGAATTACAATTGGTTCGAGTTGGTGAGCCATTGTTATAATAATCAATATTCTAACCATTGTCTCCTGTGCACGGGGGCTAAGCTCCACGAGAGGTTTTTTTTTGGTTTGGTCACGTAAATATAAGTGTGTCGTTAAACCCGCCACCGCCCGACACAGCCAATTAGTAAGGTTTGTCACGTCAACAGGTTTGTTACGTCGGGTGGCGGCGGGTTCAAAGACACATTTATATTTACGTGATCCAACCCAAAAAAAAAACCCCCTCTAGTATGGACAATATTGGTCGCGAAAGCCTACGTCGTGGTAAACGGGGGCTAAGCTGTCCGCGTGGTGGCCGGAAAACCGCCCGTTCACAAGAATCCCTCCCAGCACAAAAAGCGTCAGCAGGCAATGGTGGCCGTAAGCACAACGACGATTCCTAAGAGAGGATGAAGCTGCCACGCGGCTCTCTCACAGTCCCCCTGTCCCTGCTGTCTCACGGTTTAGATTTCTCCGCGCGCTGGGCGCCTAAGACAAATAGTATCCGTGCGGATTACCACACGCAGTGGCGGTGGTGTCACGTGACATCCTTTGTGCGAGGCATGATGGGAGAGGCCCGATCCTACGGGTCACACTATCCCCTGTGCGCGCTTTCCGTCCAGGAATCACCATCTGTGTGTATTGGTGTCGTTCAATGATGCGCTATGAATAAGAAGGTCCACGGGCCAAAATGTCTCCTGTTATATATTACCGTACTTTCCCTTTAAGGCATCGGTTCTTAACTTGGGGTGCATCACGCACCCCCTGGGCATACGAGATGCCCTTTCTGGGGGTGCGAGACGTGGCCAGATTTGTTTTAGAAGGTAAATCATTGAAAACACAAATTTAGTAAGGGCACGCAAATACAACAGCTACTTTGTTTCATCAAACCCTATGTATTTATTAACATTA